TGGCTTTAATTCAGTAATTTTTGCAAAATTATATCAAAATTTATCATGTGATTTGACATTCTTATTTAAATATTTTAACTATATGTAGCAACTTAATTTATGTGCTATTATCTTATATTTTAATTGCTTTTTACCAGAGATCGAAGCCGATTTTTTCGGCTTAACTCAATTTTCGATTTTTTTGAGTTAAGCCGAAAAAATCGGCTTCGATCTCTGCTTTTTACTATAATAAACAAACTTTAACCAATTAGTTCTGCTTTGCTTCAAATTTTGGAAAAACAATTATTAGCTCAAAAGTGTTTCCATGTGACAGTGTTTAGGGTAAACACATTTGAAATTTGCACAACTTTGCACATGAAAATTTCATTTGCTTGAAACTTTTTAACACATTATTTTTAAGGCTTAAAAAAACTTTTGAGCTGTTGAAAATTGTGGAAATTTTCATTTGCAACTTCTTTCTGAAAGCTACGATGGATATTAGCAGAGATATAAGCGTTTTATTTTTGACTTTTGAAATTTGCATGGAAATTTTAAAAATTTGCACAAAAAACTTTTAAAGTTTGCACACTTTTTTGAAAGCAATCCATGACAATTTTGTATTCATTTTATGTAAACAATTATTTTTTTTTATTTTTTTGGGAGAAGAAATAATATTTTCATCTGGTAATTTTCAAATCTAATGACAGTATTACTGATTTCTTTTTCTAATATCGTCACATGCACCGTCGTTGAAAATTTATAGGAAAATTGAAGAAAAAAATTCAAAAATCAAGCACAAGAAATCAAACAGGATCCATTATATGTAAAACTATAGAATCAAGTCTTTGAAATGGATATCTCATATTTAAGCTGATTTCATTCCTATCATTCATCATTAAATAAAGACTAATTCTATTTTTAAATTCGCAAATTATTATTTTATTTCAATGCCATTTCTTTGCTCGATCATGGATTTATCCTTTAGAAACAATTTAACACTTGCTCCTTTTAAAATTTGAATTCGTGAATTTCTTGCTTTTTTCAACTCCTTTTTCGGTAAATTTTTAATCGCCGATGATTTTTGAATATTTTTCTCAATTTTCCTACAGTCCCATTCATCGCTATATTCATTTCAGGCATAAAACATTAATGTTTTGAATCAGAAAAATTAATGTTTACATCAAAAGAATTAATGTTTACATCGAATTTTTCAATACCTCCTACGCTTAAAACTGTGCAAATTTCAAAAGTTTCGACAAATTTTTGTGCAAATTTTAAAAGTTGAAAACAAGCTTTTTTAAAAGTGAGTTTTTGGGCAGTTCCGCATATTCTTTCACACAAGAAATACTTCCAAAATTTTAAACAGCTTAAGAACTACATTTTTTGATATCAAAATATTTGATAACGACACTAATTATATCCCAAAACTTAATTTTTTGCAAAGTTTCATTTTGTATGAAAAATTGATCGCTGAAGGAATTCATCTTCCTGATGCCTTTAGAAAACTTAAAATGTTACAACAACATTTGTACAATAATTAAACAAAGATTTTGTGAAGAAAGTATTATCAGAAGTGGATATTCTGGGAGAAATTTGTATTTTTTATTTTCATATGAGTGTGCAAATTTCAAAAGTGTGCAATTTTCAAAAGTATTTACCCTATTTTAAGCAAAAAATCTACTTTAATTAAATATTTTCCAAAGTTGCTTATCATTTTTAAATAGCTTATTAAACAAGCTTTGAAACGATATATAACATGATGGGAAAATGTAATGTTTATATGTAAATGTTTATAATAAATATGTTGAAAATAATTTTTTTCTTCAAACATGGAAACAGTTTTGAACGGTACTGTATATTCACAGCTTTTTATTCTTCCTTCTTATCTGCTTTTATATGCTAATGGATTTAATTTTAGGAAAAATATTTTCTTAGCTGAACGAGAAAAGAGCAAGTTCATACGCATCTGAGTGTAAAATTAAGGAAATCGATAGCAACAAAATATACATTTCCGTATAAGTAGAGAACAAACAATAAATTTAGAATTTTTAAAATCAAAAATAGAAAGAAATTAAATTCTAAACTCAAATATCAGTCCATGCGATGAAGATTAATAACACAAAATTTTCTCTGACAGCTATCTTTGCGAATAAGTGTCGCATATAAAAAGCTCTGTGACTGAACGGTAGGAGAAAGAGAGAAAGTGAGAAGGAAGCATGAAAAAAAGAATTATGAAAGAAAAATGAATACATGTTGGAAATATGAAAAAAAAACATACTCAAAAATGTATACGCATTTAGTACATGAGTTAAGTAAGTGAGAAGGAGAGAGAGAGAGAGAAAACGGAATGAGAATGGAAGAGAGAAAATGTGCAAGGTCACGAGTATATGGGAAATGGAAATGTAAAGTAGGAGCAAGGAAAAACGAACACAATGAACAGAAAAAAGCCACAACCTTCCACGATTCTCAAAACATGATATTTGGAATGACTACCGTTCTGTTCCTAATTACAATCATAACTTTTATTTCTTCAAAAAATCTCAATATTAAGGAGACAAGAAAATCTGTAAAAATTTAGTACGTAAAGTAAATAATAGGAACAAGGCAAGAAATGCTCCTCTTGTGAATCTTGAAAAAAAAATGGAAAGAGAAGTGGAATGGCAAGACAGAGAATAAGTTATACACAATGTATAGAGAGATAAAGAAGAATACATACAAGAAGCACAAGTGGGTTTTCTATCATCAACCAACAATGTTTTCTATGCTATACACCATGACATTATATTATATATGTATCATATATATCGAGCAGTGTGAGCGCAGCAAAAATGAAATGGAAAAAACAGGCAAACTTGAGAATAAGTAAAGAGCTTCTGACGACAGAAGAAAACAACATAAAATGAGCAGAGGTATTTTCTAGTGGCATTTTCAAATTGTAGTATGTCTTATTAAAATAGAAATGAGATTTCTTTCGTTCACTTATCTAGAGTGCATAGAGCAGTGAATTAAAAGAATAATTGAAAGATTAGGTTGCCAAAAAGTTTTTTTTTTAATTTACGATCTTACAAAAACATGAACTGAACATAAAACAGAAGGAAAGGTGCTTAAAATTCCACTATTACGGATGAAAATGACAAAAAAAAAAATAATGAAATATTACGGATAAAATGTTAATACAGATTTTTGGATCATTAAATAATCGTCTGTAGAATGTGAAATTAGGCACCACATTTTTTACTACTATAGATCTCTTCCTGTACAAAACAGATTGCTTGAACGTTGGCAACGAATCACTATAACAAGAGTTTTTCGCATATTATATGTATAATAACATCATGAGACTTTAACGAAACAATCCAAACAAGCACATACTTGTACATGTTCAATATTCATTCTTATTTTTTTTGCTCACTCTCTGTTAATTTCATTTATCTTGTGAAAGCGTTCGAATTCAATCAGGATTTTGTATATGCAAGTCATGACCTTTCCTGTGCAGCAAAAATTTAATGCCCCAAACATCAACGCTGTTTTTAATACAGTGCTGTACGTGAACTTTTAAAATACAAAATAAAAATCTTTCCTATTTGCCCTCTTTATGCTGTACATTATGTATTTGTGTGAATTTTAAGCAAACAGCGATAAATGTGTTTTTTTGTCATTTTGATGAATGATTGAAAGACAAGAACACTTGAAATTGTTTTCAATTTAATTTGGTTACCCTGTCAAGAATCTGATTAGATTTAGTGATTTTTTTATATAGCACACATATGCTTGTCAACAGATGCGTTTTAGTTTAAGGAACAAAGCTAACTCGTACTTTAATGAAATACAAATTCGAAAAGCGAACAGAAAAGAGAGAAAACTGGCATTTTTGTTTGCAATTTAAACTTATGTATTGCAAAAAAAAGCAAATAGGTCATCAACTATTAAGTGCTGCTTGTATATTTTATATGCGCCTCTTTTCTGGTTCCTCGGGCAACATTTCCGTAACAATATTTTTTTGTGTGTACCGCTACGCTCTCTCACTTTATTTTCCATATTATTATTATTTAAAATTAAAAAAAAATGTATAAAAGTAAGACAAATCAATAAGTGTTCAATGAGACTATAAGCTCCATTGCAATATATATAAAGTATCGTATAAATAGGTTCAAGTAAATAAGAAAAAGGGAATCGTATGTTTTCACGCACATTTAATTTATGGAAAGCAGGCAAGGCAGTTTTATAAGCAAGCATGAAAACGAAAGATCGACAATGAAAAATGAATCTACAAACTGTAAAATCGTTTGCCGTCATCCTCTGTGCGAACTGAAGGTTTATTTTTCGGTCAGGAAATTGAAAAATTTCAATTTCGAAGCATATAACAATAAAAAATGAAGAAATAAGGAGGTAAAATCCAGCTATCCATGGTTTTGACATAAAAATTGGTATAATAATACTTTGAATCAATCATCAACGTTATAGAAAACGAAACAAGTAATTTAGAAAGCTTTAAGAAATATAAAATATAAATTTTTTTTTGATTGATACATTCTTATTACTATAAACGAGCTCCGTTAAATAATCAAAGGCAGCCGTTATTACAATAGTTGTTCAGAAGAAACCCAGACGAATAGACATGTCACGTAAAAAACATGGGGTTATGATTGTGTCAAATAACGTGTGAACTATGAATGAAATTAAAATTTAATCATTTGAAAAATCAATTGTCAACCATGACAAATTCAATGTTAAATGTAAATGTGCGTTCTCATACCCCAAATATTTTCGGCAACTATGTAATTAATCTAACATGAAATCTAAATCTCGATCAGCTTGAGTCAATTCACAAATGAATTTCGTGGAAAAAAAGCACCATGAACAAAATATTTCATTTGCACAATCTTAAATATGTCTCTGTAATAGATGTCCTCTCATAAATCATTCCATTCTGGTATTTGTTTTATTAATGGATGAATAGGGACGGGACAGACGGAAGCATAGAAAAATGTACAAATCTAGTACAAATAATTGATACTCACCCGTTATGTTTGCTAAAAGTATTGAAATATTGCTGGTAACTGCATTTGGAAATTCCAGTTTTTCATGTGTATCCTCGAAGTCAGCATAGACTATTGGATTACGCTCTATAAGCGTAAGAAAGAGCACGGCAAAAAACAGGAACCCTAGCTCACTACTCCAATTCCGTCGTCGTCTCTTCGATTTCCTTTTTTTGTTTGGAGGTCCCATAGTGATATCTATTCGTCGTTTTCACTTCCCTATTTTTATATATGTATATATTATTTAATATTACTATTTTTTAACCACTACTATCTATCATAAACTTTTCTATATGTATATATATATATTTAATAATCTGGAAGATGTTCTCACTTGTTAAATTTACTTCTTCTTTTTCTTCCCCTAACGAAAGGAATTAATTAATTAATAATATGACTTATTTTCTTCTCATGTGAGCTGAGCATTAATAAGTAGCCTACTTGTAAGCACTTTTTTTATAGGTATTATACTTTAGGATTTATCTTTTTATCTTATAACATCAATCAATTGGGGCAGACGGAGAGTTGATATATGTGTTTCTTTTTAATTATATTTGATTATTTTCACATTTCTTTGCTCAGTTAATGTGTGTTTTGTCGACAATTTTCTTCTTCTCTTCCACATATTTATCTCGTTTTAAAGCATGAATCGTAAAATAATAAAATCGGTGAGAAATTTGGAGCTTTCGGAAAGGATATAGAGACAAGGAGAGAGATCCAGTAAGGAATAAAAAAAAAGAAAAAGAAGAAAGAAAGAGACTAAGTATCGTGAAAAAAAAGTAGGAAGGATAATGGAAATTTTAGGAAAATAATAAAACTAATTGGAGCTGAAGGAGGATGTTTGTGTAAAATCAAGGATTAGATCTTATTGACGACATTTTTTGCGATTATATAATTGCGTTATATCTGGTAGAAATTTTCACCATTCGAATGTCTGCGATTCTTTCATATTTTTTTCTGATTTTTTTCATTTCATTTTAGTCAAACACACAATTTTCTATAGATATATATTTTTCCACTTTTCTCCGTTCTTATAATTTTCCAAGGAATGAAATTTTTCCAGCAAAATTGATGAAAAAAAGTTAAACTTCCTTTTTCTGCCACTCGCGAATTAAAAATAACAAGACAAACTTAATTTTTGTACCATGGAAACTTTGAAAAACTTCTATTTCCCTTTTTTCTCGTATAGTTTAGTTGAATTATCCTGCACTTTGGAATTTTTTCCTTTTTTCACTTCGTTTTTTTATGTCGAAAATTTTTTTTGCTCGGTTTTTCTTCGAATTTTCAACTTTTCTATTAATTTTAACCAACAAATCGCGAAAAAGCACTTTAAACTATATACAGATAACAGAATTTCCCTTTTTTATCACTTAATTTAACTTTAAATTTAAAGAAAAAATTTTCATTCAACTGTTTCAAATGTTCAGTTTTAGACTCTTTTTTTCTCCGAAGTTGAAAGCTTACTGAATGAATTGAGCCGAGATATGATGTGTATTATTGGAATAAGCTCTTTACTTTCCAATCAGAGTTGTTCGTCGTGGTATATCGGGAATAATTTATTGATTTTATTCGATCCTATTCTATTATGATTTCTTACCACTTTATTCCTATTTTTATTTCAATCTTTATGTTATTCTAGTCAAAATTTTAATGAAACTTTATTGAATCAATTCATATCTTTAAAAATATCAGGCAAATTGCTAAAGTTGTAAAGTCAACTCTGACTTCCAATGAAATCTCAAAAGAAAAGCTTTCCACGGCACATTTCCTTCATGTGTTTTCTAAATTAGAATTGCCAAAAAAAAAGAAAAGAAGTAAAAACTTAGCTGAAAAGATTGCATTGACACATAAATTTGGTAGTATGTTAAGATGTCTGATAGCATATACTTTATGGCATGTGGACTTTCCATGCGCACTTTTAATATAATTATTCGAATAATATGATACTTATAAATGTATCAAATATTTAAGTAATGAAATAAATTATGCATGTAACTTTATGAATCACGTTATTGAATTCTATATTCTCTCATTGATTTCTCCTACTGCTATGAGCTTTTACAGCATTTCCATCGCTTCTAAGACCAATATTAGATATTGTTGCAATAAAATTATTAAAAACCATTTAAAATTCTTGTAAAAATTGGCATAAAACATTTTACTACAAATTTTAACTTTAATCGTTTGGAATCAAAGGAAAGAACTTTATTAAACAACATTAAAGTTATGTATAGCATACATGTGTATATTCGATGGTTATGGCGAGAGCTTTTATATAATAAAGAATGAAGCACACAAAATTCCCACAAACGAAATCGTAAAAAAGCAAAGTCGGCAACTCGCATGTATAAGTTAAAAGCTATGATGAGAAGAGAAGAAAGAAAAAAAAGTACACATGATAGTTTAGAGCAATTTATAATTTGTGTTGAATGCGCATGAATGCGAGTAGTAAAAAACACAGCAGAGCCTTTTCCACAACCCCGAGCGGCACAAGGTGGAGGGTGGTCTCCATATGGAATCCATATGAAAGCCACCTCCACTATGTGGGAAGTAAATGGAGGGTTATTTTTTCATCCTTCATATTGATTCCATTTGGATTCCATATGAACTCCGCTTTTTCTTAAATCAAATACCGAAAAACTCGTGCTTTTGAATTTTTAAAAGACAGAGGTCAGATCTTACTGTAATGGATTGAAATATTGTCGAAAAGCTTTACTGAATCATATTGCTTCATTTCAAGCTTTAAAAAAGCAAAAAAGGATAATTTTTTGTGATTTTGTATGAAATTACATACTTCACAAGCGCATGCAGAAATCACTATTATATGGGGTCGTTTAATTTGTATGAAAATTTTTAATAATTTCTTATGTTTCTCACGCGTGTGATCGAGACTTAGAAATTGCTGTGGTTGCGACTTAATTAAATTAAGTTGTAAATTTTTCAATAGTGTTAGTGTACTTTAATTAAGTCCACTAATACAGCTACAAATCTTGATATAAAAATTGCGAAACATAGAAAAACACGTGGAAAATCGTACCAAAAATCCTTTGAAAAATACTTCCATTAAACCTCCGTTTGACTACCACAAATGGATCCTCCATCCTCCATCAAAACCTCTCAAATGACTTCCATTTGGTGTTAATAAATGCACGTCCCACGGAGGATTTTCGGAGCTTTGGCTCCTTCAAAGTTCCATGATAGTAAGGTTTTCGGAAGATTTTCAAATGGAGGGTGGAACATGGAGGCTCCGTATAGCTTCCATATGGAAGGCAAATGGAGCCTTTGTGCCGCTCGGGAACGACGACCAAAAAAATAGAATTGCAGATTTTTAGATTTCCATTCACCAAATTCTTGCGTAGAAAATAAAATATTATAGGACCCGACTCTTTCCATCAATTGCTCTGTTCTCTCAATTTTCCCACAACACAACATAATAGAAAGCTTCCATTTCAGAAATTCTTTTCCTCATACAAAGCATAAAGAACAAAGAAGGAAAAAAAAGCGATTTATTAAAGTGAGATAAGAACTTTTTCAAACATTGAAGGAAAGAAACCGAAAGAATCATGTTTAATACAAACAAAAATTATACTTGGAATGGGAAGAAATGGATAGAAGAAAACATAAAAATTTCTCAAAAGCTTAAGATTCTATTAACTGTAAATGCTGAACTGGAAAAGTTTCCAATTTTCATGTTAAAATCATTTCAAAATGGATTATGAAAGGAATCAGGATAAATACGATAATGACGTCATTTCAGAATTATTATTAGAAAAGCAAATTAAGTTACGCTTGCCTATCACAATGTAAAATAATTTAGCACTACTGAATTTCTCTATATTATATTCACTGTTTATTTCAGACTTGGGGAGCAGTTAATCGTTCAAGGCAATAGACATTTATTTTGCTTCATTATATCTTCTTATATTATGTGAATTATCTTCATTATCTTTATAATTTATTTTTTATAAATATATTTTAACCTATGTTTTTGATCATATATGGACATAGTATTTCATTCGCGTCTCTCAAATCAATTGGACATTTATTGATTTAAATTTATAAAAACGTTTTAATCCTGGTTTTAATTTGATTCTTCCTCCCTCAAAAATATAAGAAGTTAAAAAGCATACCAGTTTTTAGTGTGCATGTATGATAACCCCATTTGCTCATTGCCATTATCACAACGACTGATTTTTATTACTCTAATTTCAGCACTCATGTTTTGTGCTTTTGTCATTCATTATTATACTTTTATATATAGAAATTCTACGATGATAAGGGATTCCGTATACGCGAATAATGTGTGTATGCATAGAAAATCCATTTTCTTTTAGAAAATAAAAAAAAAAATGATTACGAAGGAATGGAAATTCTTCAACATTCAATGTGAAAATCATCTATATGCTTTGAATATTATATATGTTTAACAAATTAGGAAACGGCTGATGATGGTTGAGAAACTAAAGCTCATAAATGAAGGCTAGACTTTTAAAAATACTACTTTGCTCTCTTTCCTTTTCTCGCTCTCTTCAAGCACGTTAAATACTTTTTTTGTTCCTTCAAATATGATATCGATGAAGTTATAACCTAGATAACCGAAATGATTTTTTTTTCTAGTCCTGCGCTCTTTTTCCATCATATGCTCCTCAACATTATGCGCTCTCGTTCAACACTACAATTTTCGTTCTATAAGAATTTTTGCTTATTCATGTCGGTTCAGTCTTGGATTTAAAGAAAGTTTACAGGACATTATGTATGGATGTAATTTGCATATTTGGTAATCTCATTTCCGTAGCTACGATAAATTAGCTAATGAGGAATAACAACGAATTTAGAATTATATTCAAATGACGGTAATTGACAGTATAAAAAAAATCATTATTGAAAGCTCTCTAAAAGCTCATTTGAAGGCGATAAGTAGGAAAAATCAACTAATTTAAAAACATACAAAATACTATTTATAAATGCTCTGTGAATAAATAAATGAGAAAGCAAAATAATTTTCTGATTATCGATTATCGTCGCTGTTTTTGAACATTTCTTGTTCTTGTGCTTTTATTATACACGTTTCATTTTCATTATTATTATTTTTATGCTTTTTAATTTATATATTGAGTAATAATCTTTTATTAAATTGAAACGAAGGATCTATCCCTATTTATAGGACGTACCTATATGAAGGTCAATAATTAATGGTGATTATAATTGGTTCAATCCTACTCGTTCGCACGTGCTTGCCTTACTTAAAGAATTGATTAAGTTTTGATTGCTGCTTTGTTCCATCAATACTTTTTTGCTGTCGAAACATTTCGGATATTTTGGATAAATTTCTATTATTCGTTGTTAATGCTGTAGCATTAGTTTTTTTAGACATTGGAATTAATAAGCCAGCTGTTTTCTTTTTCTTCTTCTTGGTTTTTGTTTTCTTTTCCTTCCTTGGATTACTATCATGTTCATGTTGTTTTGTTTTTTCACTCATAATCGTCCCAGATGCTACATTTTCAGATTTATTATGCTTATCATTCTGTTTCTTTCTTAACTGGACTTTTGTTTTTGCTGCTTTGCTACAGAAACATTTATAAAGCTGTAAAAAGACAAACAAACAAACTGTCATCTTGTAGAATTTTCATGATTAAAACATAAATTAGCATTAATTACCGCAACATGATTGTTTTGCTGCTGTAATCTCTTAATATTTCTAGTAAAAGCTTTAGATTCATCCTCACTGGATTGTCTGCATTTCACTTTTAACTGTAGTCGCTCAATTCTATAATTTCTACGTGCTATTCTTTTTGGATTTGATGATTTCATCTCTAAATTGAATTTTCCGGATGTCCAAGGAGTAAGGCACTTAGTACACATCGTAGATTCCTTCTTGACAACATTTTGTGGCAATCTATTTCTACAAAAATTTTAATTTCATTAATTACACAATTATTGCTTAACATCTTATGCTTACTGATGGAATAGCTTCAATAAAGTCTCTGTGTGATTTATTGGTCTAGAAAATGTCTTAATTATGCTCTCAACCTGTGAATTCATTAATAAAATTGTTTTTTTGATTTGACTGTTTTTGTTTTTTCTATAAGTTTTAAATTTATAAAACCGTTACTGAAAACTTAAAAAAAAGTCATGTAAAAACACAAAAACAGTTCAATTCTTTAAATAAATTCTTTTTTTAATTTAATTCTTTAATTCCAACACGAATTAATCAGTTAAAGAATAGAACGTTACAATATGATGCTGTATATAACTATGTTGCAGCTTTTAAAGATTCAAATTAGCTGAATAAGTTCTAAAATCATTTCTTAAAACGAAAGATAGAAGCGCATGTTCAGCAGAATTTAAATTAACTGCCATTTCTGAGTGATATTCCCCGCTGTTCGGAAGTAAATAAAAACTTACACGTTGATAAATTATTGAATTTTTGTAAAGTATATAATTAATTACGATGGATGTATCAAGTTTAATTGGTATTGGTGATGCAGAGGATCTTGAGACACCGGAAGGCATTAAGCGATTATGTCAGAGAATTAATGAAAGAGAGAAACAAGTCAATGATAATCTCCAAACTTTATTATCAAGAAAATTGAACTTAGAAACAAAAATTGATAGCTGTTTAATTAAGTATCAACAGTTGTATAAGGCATCAATATGTGAAGACTCTAAGAAACTTACGTCAATAATTAGTCACACTTCCGATTTAGCTGAAAAAGTCAGTGCAAAAGTCAGAAACTTAGATACAGCTAGAATGCGAGCAACAGAAGTTCAAAAGAGAGTTCATGACTTAATTGGTATGTTTGAGCTTCATCATCATCAAGTGAATCATATTAATAACGTAATATTTCAGATCTTCAGTTGTGTAGTCAAGGTGTAATGACGGCTATTAAAGATGAAGATTATGAAATCGGTGCTAGACATGTAAAGAGATATTTATCGATGGATAGAAATATTCTTGAGAAGACTGCCGATGATGTTTCGTCTATGACATCAGTAAATCAAGCTGTAGATACACTGGAGAAAGCTGCCAAGGAGATGAGAGAAATTGTAAAAGTAAAACTTGACGAGGCGATAAAAAAGAATGATTTAGCTTCAGTCGAAAGATTCTTTAAAATTTTCCCCCAATTAGGAATGTATGATGAAGGAATCGCTAAATTTACTAGTTATGTGTGCACAAAATTGAGTTCAATTGCTGAAAAAGAACTAAGGCAGTCAATGGAAATTGCGAAAGCAGAAAAGCGTACTCAAGTTGCTTATGCTGATACATTCACAAACTTACTAGAGAATGTTCTTCGAATTATTGAGACAAATCAACCTATTCTTGAGAACTATTATAGATATGGTCATTTATTGAAAATGGTCAAAATTCTACAGCTTGAATGTGATGATCAGACTCGTCGATTAATTCAGGAATTTAATAAAAACAGATTAATTAATCGAAAAGTCAATCAAATTAATGATTACATTAAAAGTCAGTCAACGCAATCGTCAAGCACATTAGGACATTTAAGAAAGGCATCAGGAAGTATGGATAAACTGAATTCAAAAGATTTAGACACACTAATTGCTGAGTTAACAATTATGCATTCAAGAGCGGAACTTTATGTTAAATTTATACGAAGAAGAGTATCAAATGACATTGAGAAATGCTTCATAGCTGGCGACATGACGGAAGAAGAGAAGAAAACTGCCCTCGATTCAATGGAATCAGTTATCAAAAAGTCACAATTAAGTAATCAAATGCAAGAAATTCTAAGCACTTATTTACTATTCGAACGTTATTTTATGGAAGAAAGTGTAATTAAAGCTATTGGATTTGACAGTCACGAAACAGGACAATTATATTCCAGTATGGTTGATGATGTTTTCTTTATAGTTCGAAAATGTATTCGACGATCAATAGGAACACAATCGGTCGACGGTGTTTGCGCAGTCATAAATAATGGCGGTGCTTGTATTGAACAGGAACTTATTAATGCATTTAGAAATGCCCTAAAATCTGGATATCATTCTGGCTACATAGATTTAGCGCAAGCATATAGCGCATTTCAAAGCACTATTCAACAAGGAAAGATCCAAACGAATGATTCAGAAATGGCTAGAACAAAATTTACAGTCACATTAAATAATGCTGACAAGTCAACAGAATATATTGAGACATTATTCCAAAATATTAGCGAAGAAATAAAAGTATCATTTCCAAATATTGATTCACATAAAAAGGAAATGATTGAGAGCTGCTTGGGTGGATTAAAATCTGTCGGTGATTCATTAAAAACTGTCGTTGAGTCAGGCATGCAGCAGCTTAGAAGCTCAGCCATTAAACCTAGAATAAATCCATGGATTGATCAATTTCAGTCTTCAAATCACATGCTGACTGATGATGAATTATCTGTTTATGAAGCTGGTGAAACTTTCATACAGTTCCTTATCGTGCAACTTGATGGTTTATTAAATTCATTCAAAAAAGTTTTAAGCGAAAAGAACTACGACATTTTAGTCTTGATGTTAGCAACTGATGTAACTGCTCGTTTTGAGCGTGCAATAAAAAAATGTGCATTTGATAGAAATGGAGGTCTTGTGCTTGATAAAGAAGTAAGAAGTCTTGGAACATTTCTGACAGGTGCAACATCGTGGACTGTTCGTGACAAAATGGCACGACTGACTCAAATTGCAATCATATTGAATCTTGAGAAAATTTCAGAATTGTCCGAATATTACGATACTAGAAATCAGGAAGGACCATTTACTGCTTGGAGATTAACTCCAAACGAGATAAGAAACATTTTAAAGCTCCGAACTGATTTCAAAATTGAGGATATAAAAAAATTACAACTGTGATGTGCTCAAAGTAATTCCAATCGTTCCTTGCAAAATTTGTTCTAGTATAGATTCAATATAGGCTTCTTTATGCTTACAACAATTGCAATTTTATGTAATAAAAAATCTTTAATGTTTAATGTTTCAAAAATGATGTCCTCTTTATTTAATTTCTGATGCATATGTCAAAAAAAATAATGATAAAATATTATTATAAAATAAAAAAAATGGTATTGATTGATGATAAGAGCATTTTTTAACACTATTAATCCAATTAATAAATTAAGAGACGAAAAATGAGTTTTTGATATAAAAAATGTTGATGTATAAGACTAGATTAATTTACATCTTTCTTTTATCCTCCATAATTAATGATGGGCTAATTTTCATCATAAATTTCGACTTGTTTGGTTAATTATACTAATAAATCGTCAGAGAGTTGTTATTCATTTGCTAGGTGATACCTCTCTTTTTTACATTTTTAAATCACGTATAATTTAAGCTTCTTAAATATCCAATGAGAGAAAAACTGACACGTTTAATTAAACTTTATATCGTTGTAAAAATTGAACTATATAAAAATCTATAGAATTTTTTTAATTTTGATTATAAAATTAAATTACTGGTTTAGGATACAAGTTCTTTAATCGATATAGTTCTGTATGTTAGTCTCTAATCCTCATCATCTATTTCAATAATATCATCGTTCTTTAACTCTGCATTTCGTTTGTCCATTTTCTCGCGCAATTCCATATACCTATCGACATCACAGTAATGCACGTTGTTGCTGTTTGAGTCACCTTGCTAATTATTTTAATTTGAGGAAAGAGAATTGAATTCATTTGTTTGGGTATAAGAACTTTGGAATGTACATAGAATAATGCTTTAACGTGCAGAATTGTTATGGGTTAGGAACTTATAACTCTTTTGAAGCACTCTTGTAAACCATAGTTTTGACACAAGAGTTAAATCAATTGAAAATGCAAATAAAGTTCATGTTAATTAAGAGTCAATTTTAATGACATAAATGTATGTTAAAAGCTATGTATGTGATTCAATAAAAGCTAGAAGAAAGGCAACAGGAAATGGTTAGTATAAAAAGCAGAAATAAATGAATTTTAGAGTTTTTAATTTAATTTTATTTTATTCATGAGTATAATTATGAATATATTAGAGATCGAAGCTGATTTTTTCGGCTTAACTCAATTTTTGATTTTTTTGATAGAAAAAAGCTATTTGACACCCATTTCAAGCATTTAAATTGAACTTTATATGCTTTACTACAATTCTGTGTAATATATTGTCAGCATGTAGCTATAGTGCGCTCAGAATTTCAAATTAGCCGATGTTAAAGATCGAAAAAATTGGCTTCGATCTCTGGAATATATGCATTATGATTAGAAAAAACAACAAGATTTTTGTGAGACATTCACAAATGAATCTTCAATCACACATTCTTTCAAGGCATAATAAATTATTTAATCACAGTGCTAAAGGATATATCAGATTTTTTTTTTTTGTTTGTTGACTAGTTTATAAAAGGAATGACCAAAAATTATTTACACAAAGATCATTAGTAAAGTTTTAATATTTTCTATCATTTTTCCCTGTATTCGTAAACGTTACACAGTCCTCAAAAATTAAAGGTTCGTAAAAAATGTTTAAATTCCATTTTCGTTCGTAAATAACTTAATCATAAATTGAGATAAATCTCGTTCGAAAAATTAAATGGACACTAACTTGCGTGCTATACATTACGAATAATAATAATAATAATATGATAATAGTACATAAAAGAAAATTCAAGGAAATCACTACTTTCGACTAGAATTGTAAATTAATAAAAAAAAAATAAAAGAAAATGGAAGAAATAAATTGTTACATTGATTTGTAAATGAAACACTTCCAATTAGGCCTCACGAGAAACTTCTTTGGGCAGGAGAACATTGAATTGAGTATCTTTCAAAGATATTGTAGATGTAGATCGTCGGAATGAGTTATTGTTAGTGTCATGAATCAAAAACCTTTCATTTGTCTCATCTAGACTCATGCTTGTTGATAAGCTTTTAACAAATGGTTTCTTAAAAATGCGTCCACTACCAGCGCGATGAATTGGTCGATTATTACAGTTAATGTTAGACAATCCCATGAAATTTTCAGTGTTATTATTACGATCATTGAAATCACATACCTTATCGCGTACAATAAATGGACATTCTTTGCGGATCTGTTCCATGTTGCTTGGAGTGCACTTGCACAATGATGAGTTTTTGCAGAACCACCAAAGCGACTTAACAGAATATGTAATGCGCTGATCAACTAAATTTATGAAAGAGAAATTATTAAATTAGCACTGAATATATTATTTGCAATTTACCATCGCCTTTGGCTGTTTTAGTCATTTCTGGTGTACTTTCTTTACGCGAAAAGTGTGATCGTCGAGAACGTGCTAAGCCAGATGATGGTAAGATACTAGAGGTTTGTTCCGAAACGACGGTATTTGAAGAGCTTGATGATTCAATCGACGAAGAAGACGTCAAGACATTATTTTCGTTATTATTGACAAGAGGACTATCTGGATGCATAAATACTTCATCGTCAATATCGTTGGTTAATTGTTGTTGTGCCACAACATTCATTCCAGAAGCAGAGCGTGATAAAAGATCTAAGTGAACTCCACTATCGATGAATGGTGATGGCTGAGATGGTAATTGATGAGCTGCAGGAACTAATCCCATATCTGAGTTCATTATTGTAGCTTCATGTGATTTAAGGAATTCATCGTTTGTGAAAAAGTCATCCAGAACAAGCTTTGCTACCTACAACAAAATACATTTATATGAATTAAATGTGGGATTTATAAATAAAGTGCAATAATAGCAATAATTTTGGCTAAAATCCACTTATCGACATGCAATTTACCTTTACTAGCTCAAGTGAATCTCCAGTAATCTTCAGAGAATGATTTCCGACATTTACTGTATATTTATATTCTCCTAAGGAAGCATCATTTGCACTTGCACTATGAGTGAGATAATTTGCTGCATTGTGATGTGAGTTGCTTCGGCTTAGCTTGTTGGTCATTGGAAGTTGAGGAATATTTGGATTTTGTGACATTTGAATTCCACCACGTGATCGCATGCCACTCATTTGCTGATCGTCAGATGATGCAAGTGAACTCATCGAACCTTCTTGTGTTTCACGAATTGGACTTGCGTTGCGCTTAATAGTATCTTCAATGAGATTTTTAGCATAATTGATGTTGTCTTCATGTGGACCAGTAATTTGGACTAGACGTTCTTTTGCACCAGCATTGACTTTAAAAGGTAAAATAGGAAATGAAATTAATAATGCGTCTCTTAAAAACAGTTTTACATACAATTAAAGCAATGTTCTTCTTTAGTATATTAGCAATTTGAATTAAAAGTGTTATTCGTTTTATGGATGCATATTATATCAATACAAAAGCAATACTGCGAAGTAATTATGAGTTTTATAATAACAATAATAATAATAATGATAAAATGAAATGACTTCGTTATGACACAATTAATGGAATTAGAAATAGTAAAAGGTGATGCAAATTATCGATTGATTCAAACGTTGACACTTTTTTTAAAGGTAAGTAACATACAAAAATTAGAGTTAATAACAAGGTTGCAGATGAGTCAGTCAAAAATTATGAAAAAAAAAAATAATAGTTCAAGATTTATTTTACCCCTTTGAAATGAGATTACACAATTGCTCATTTCTTCAATTATATGTACTCTCCTTCCTTTGATTCCCATCACTTCCGATTGGGCATAATTTAAACAATAAAGATTTTTTTTTGCATATTTCAAATAAATAAAATTTTCTTTTTAAGTCCAATGAACTTTACTAATGATAGAACTCACCTTTTCCACTGTCTGAATTACGGATGATAATCTCATCTTTAGAGTAATTTTTGCCTGGAATTTTGGTCGGTTTTGTGAATTTGCCAGAGTTCTTTACAACTTCGCCTGGTCCAAGAGATTGTCCAGCAAAAGCATTTATTCCAATCGATGGAGAGCTACTCAGCAATGTAAGCTCAATATCGGACTAAAGGTCCACAAAAAAAAAATAAAACGTATTGAATTTCAATGACTTTAATAGAAGTAAAAACAGAGATGTAAATTACCTCAGATTGAGCTTTTGATTTGTAGTAATCTGCACATTTGTTACCAACCCAGGAGTTTGCACGCAATTCAATGAGATTAAGTAGATTTAAGCGAATCGATATCTTTAAGCGATCGTCTTGAGATGCATTTCGAAAAACGTTAAAGCAGCGGTCAAGAATTTCTTTCGAGTATATTTCAAGTTGTTGTCCATGCATTACTAAGCTTTGAAACATTTTGTTGAAAAGTTCGATCGATACATCTCCTTGATTTAGAGACATAGCGACAGCCTCGGTGATGGCAATAAGATCTTCAACTGCAAAAATTGATAATTTATAGAAATTGACGTTTAAGGAAAAAAGTTGACATGCTGATAAAGAATTATGCAACTTACTAGATGTAATTTCGATATTTTGCTGATAAATCGGCATCGACTGCTGTTTTATTGTCGATTTAAGAGGCCTTGGAGCTTCCAAAGCACGACCGATTTGAGACATGATTATCGTTTTCGTTTGTTTATTTGGTTTCGTTGAAGCTAAATCACTTTCTATTTAATAATTTCGAAAAACTTGGTACTTGTTGTTTTATAAAGTGATAATAAAACACAAGATTTAAAGTAAAAAAAAATAGAAGCGAAGCAATGAAAATGAATGTTCTGCTAATGATGGAAATAAAAACTAAAAGAATGAATTGAACGAGACTTGATGTCGATAGAACGTCTCTGAAATGGAGAAATAGATAGAAGGAAAATAAAGGAATTAGAACTTTTCAAGACAAGAGAATCCATAAAAGTTCCTACTATTGTATTGTAATGAAGGAAAAATTTAATCGATTTCAAATAGTTGAATAATGCGAAATTTCCTCATTTCTCTTTTGTTTCTGCGAGTACCTGTACTGTAAATGATAGTACATGCTTTTCTTTTAATACATTACAGTACAGTACGTTATGGGAACAGAATTCTAGTGACTAAAAAACGCAATTATCCCCACGAAAACAAAAATTTCATCTGAATCATTTTGTTATTTTTAATATGAAGAAGATTTTTTCTATATACATCCAACTGTGACTTATTTACCGCTTAAATAAATTATTTAAGTTGTTACATTCCAAACTATCCAATTATAGGTACCAATTCCAAAAAAAAAAAAAAATTGTGTGAAGAGAAATTTTCATGATTTAAATAGTAGGTGGAAATTTCTCATCATTTTACGATCAACTTCCTGCAAACGCGGTAATAAAGATAGAAAATGATTCATTGGATTGATTACTTAAAATAACAACGCATAATTAAGATCTTTTTAAAATAATTGCAAAATTTAAATATTTTTGCCACATTTTTCTGAATTTTCAATTTTTTTGCTTTTCCTCGCATTATTCAACTGTTTTTCACATTATTCGTGATGTTTTTGTCCTTAACTATCGAACTATAGTTAATTTGTGACATTTCAATGCAGAATAATCACAATAAATTAATTTTTTCTCTTACCTGAAATCCTCGAAACAATTTTTTTTTCTTGACTGAGCTTATTCAAAAATGACGTCTACAATTTAGGAGGGGAGGGTTATAATTTCTCACAAAAATTCACCTTTATATGTTTTATTTTGAAAGGCAAAAAGGAGCGATATCCTATGGAAGCTTATGTTTGTGACAAAGGGTAAAGGTAGGGTCTGGAGAGTCTCATTTTTAAATACACTCAGCTGATTTTTTGACCCCAGGGGAAATCAACTCGATTCCTAGAATTTGAATTTTAAAAAGTCGTTGACATTTAAAAAAACCGTTGACTATTTGCAGTTTCTCTAAATTTATTGCATATTTATTAAATAAATTAATTAAGTTTGAATGTCTAAATTTTGCAATGTTCTATTTCTATTGAACACAAAATGTTTCTATTGAACACAGTTCCTTTATAATTATATTTAAGGACTTAAAGTTTCATCTAAAATTGTATCGAATCACATCACAAAAATTAATTCTTATCTTCCTAATTTCAATAGTCACGCACAGTTACTAAAATTATACAGTAATGAGGTTCTTTATATAAGGATGTAAATAGAAGCCAATTTAAATAGAAGTATATGCAGTGCCCTTGAATGCCATAAAAAATATCTGACCAAACTTCTATAGCTTTTCGTGATAGTTATCTGACAATTATTTTGGGTACATATGACTACCACGTGATCGATGAAATTTATTCGTCATCAAAGTTAAGATTAATTGTGTATGTCTCTTCCTTCCTTCTCCGTCTTGGACAATCCTGCACCATATCGACTTTTATCTTCAACTTTCCTCGTAAAGATGGTGGAATTCCGATTTGATATGTTAAAGGATTTATCTTTGTTAATTCTATTGATCCTGGGCATCCGTACCATACGTCACACATATTTTGATAATCCAAATAAACTTGTGGCATAGGATTCACTGGAACTTAAAGAACACATATTAAGTGAGGGAATTATTGCACAATTAAGGATTTTATTGAACCAAAATATGTCGCCAAAGTTGTTGGAACTAGAACAAGGATCTAGTATACGTAATTAAGATTTAATGTTTAATGGATTAAAGCAGATTAAAGTCTCATGCGCTTAAGCCATACAAGAGAGAAAAGCTATTAGATTCTTACCAACATGATGATGACAAGCTGGAATGATTTTTTTGACAACTCCACAGGATGTTCTCTTCTCAATAACTGGACCACAGATGCATTTAGTTCCACATACAGTCCCACATTTTGGCCCACATCTCCCACAATCGCATAAACTTTAATTAAAAACTTTGCTATAGTATTTATTTAAAAGAATTGGAAGTAAAATTTAGACAAATTACTCGGGTAAATCAAATCTTAGAACAGCCATGACTATCAGAGATTTCAGCAATCCTCACAATTCAAAAGCACACGATAAACTAAAGTATTTCTCGTCTAATTTTTTTACTCCTTCAATCATAATCCTTGAATCCCTCCAAAATAATATACACGATCATTTGGTATTCAAATCAGTCCGAAAGTGTGCATAGATTCGATCAATAATTTATAAATCCTTCCTTCAATTGCACATAATCTGTTATATTTTCCTAGTTAAAACGAAGGTGTAATAATCTTATGTTGATTAAAAGAAAGTGTAAGTAGAAGTTCTAGCCTTGATAAAGAAAAATTCATGAATGAATTCATTTCCATTTAATTATTTGGCAAAAAACCGTATTTTCATGTTTCTATTTTTATGCTACGGACATCCATTTTATCAGAAAAATCATTAAAATATACGGAAGTCGAGAATTTCAAGTTTAATTGGTCCTCATAAAAATGATAATAAAATTAATCATGCTGAAAAGAAGGTCATGCTGACTAAAGACAAAAATAACGGTAGATTTTTAAGGAAATTCAAATTTTATGCTGGTTTGTTTATATCGATTTGAAAATCAGAAAATAGAAGCTGAAAATACGATTTTCATTTTTATTCACATATATTCTGATTAATTAAGGATATAAAATGGCAGATATTATAAAGAAGGCTATTCTGTTTCTTATGAGCGAGCAGTGCTTTGAAAATTACTTCTTGGACCTTAATTTTTTGAATGGTAAGCATATGAAACAATTTTTTGATGACATCATTGTTTAATTTTGTTCAATTATTTTAGTTGATTGCGGAAAAGCTCTTATTAGCAAAGGATTAGGTCTAGGAATAATTGCTGGATCAGTTTTAGTGAAAATACCTCAGATTGTAAAAATATTTAATGCCAAATCATCAGAAGGAATTTCAATTTATTCTGTATTACTCGACTTATTAGCTATAACTTTCCATATCAGTTATAGTTTTGTCAGTGGCTTTCCATTTTCTGCATGGGGCGATGGAACTTTCTTGGCTGTACAAACTGCTATAATCGCTTCCTTAATCTACATTTATGGTCACAAATCCATTTTGAGAGCATTTATTTTCATTGGAATCTACTCGGCATTAACGTATATACTGATGGGTGGAATTACTCCATTAGAGTATCTTTGGACAGCACAAGGATTCAATATTCCAATTCTTTTAGTTGGTAAATTATCACAAGCTTGGACAAATTATCGCAACGGAAGTACAGGTCAATTATCAGCTGCAACATGTTTTATGCTGCTTGCTGGATCATTAGCAAGAATCTTCACATCAATACAAGAAACAGGAGATAATATGATGATTATCATTTACATTGTATCATCATTTGCAAATGGTGTGATTGTATCACAACTTCTTTACTATTGGAACAAACCTACAGGACCATCAATCGTAGCTAAAGATAAGCCATCTGAAAAACCTAAACCAAAGAGGGCCAAGAAAGACGACTAAGTAGATGAATTTATGATCTACAGTACGAAAAGACTCTTAGTAATGCGGTAATAGAAACATTTCAAATATGTTGTGGGTAATTTAAGGCATTCAAACTATTCCAAGTAATCTAAATCAATTGACAAATTTTAATAAAACAAAGATGTTAAACTAGCTAGAAGACAATTTAAATGTTTAAAGCTTAATTCTTAATCAAATTGTATGTTTCAGATGATCATTGAAGTGAGTCCTGTAAAAGCTAGTAAAACAAAAGCTAGCACATAATTTTTAAATATTTATTTAAATTTACTTTAATTAATGGTAATTAGAAAAGTTTTACACCTTAATAGCATGAAAATAACATTAAATGAAGAGATTCCATGAAATATCATCCATTAAAAAGTAAAATTAAAATTTTCAGTAACTAATTTCCTCATATTTTTCTTACTTTGTTTCGAATAAATCACATTAGAAAGTCACAGAATATGCATTTAATGAATTCATTCATTGTTTCTTCCATTCTTTACAATTATTATAAGAATCATTTATTCAGTCAATTTTTTCTGCAAAATTTATTTAATTTTGTTATTTTCTGTCTACGGGGTTGGGGGATCTTAGAATTCAAATGAACGTCATCAAACCCTTTTTTTTTTGTACATAACAAGCACATCTCAAACATTTTCGTTATCTACCCGATCTGTAATTCTCTGATGTATCAAAATCATGCTGATTTGAACTTATAAGTTGATTTAAGAAAGCAAGAAGGACTAAACTGATGATCCTCATCCATGTTAATGAAGACTATTTATCCTGCCTCAAAAAGTACCTACTGTAGTAAGGAAAACAATTGAAAATTAATGAGCAACAGAAGACTTATGAAAATGGATATGATGAGAAAAATTTGGATTTATCGGAGGGTTCTTTAACATTCTAATTCTATTGTTTTTGGGCACAAATAGGTGGTTCAATGGTTTAATCAATCAAATTTTACGTGAGCATCAAAGCGCATCACTCTATTTCAAAACTATATCGATATATGCGATTTTGGGAAAATATGAAGAACTTTTTCGTAAGAGTGACATAAATGTGAAATAAAAGCAGTTGAAATATATACATCGAATTACATTAAGAAATTTCATCCATTTTGGTATTTTGAATTAATTAATAGCTAATTTGATTGAGATCAACATTTATGATTGTATAAATAGATGTATATGAAAAATGTTAAATGATCTTTTAAAATGATCCAGCATCTGCTTTTTAGCCTACAACATTTAACGAAATTATATTTACTAAGCATTATGTGTTTTTTTAAATCTTTAATAATTAGGTTGATTAGCAACTTTTAATCGAACCTTAATCACAAAATATCCTCTACTAAACTTCTTTAATAATCTATGATTTGTTATCAAAGCAATGTAATGTGGTGTATTCATTTTTTTTTCTTCCTTATTATCAAACAAGCCCTATGATTAATGATAATTTTTTTATAAAACAATTTGGTCGAATACCTATATTAAATAATTATGTTATATAACTTTGAAATATTATCATTAATTAAATTTTCTGTTATTTTCGTTTATCAACATCAATAAAATTTATTAGATAAAAAAATGGTTTATGATTATCATTTTTAACAAGAATAAAGATCAAGATCATTTAAAACTTTATCTTCAAAATGATTCAAAGTAGCCGTAATAGAAAGCATATAATTTGAATCGTTTTGAAATTCTTTCTAATCCACACTAGAGAAGATTTGGAAGAGTTCCGATCCATAAAGTTTTAACTACCTTCAATCTTATAATATTGTGCACTTTAAAAAAATTAATGCCAACTGTTGTTCTGTCTGTTTAACGTGTATAAAATGATGTGAAAAAGCTTGGAAATTACAGGTAAGAGCAGGAAGGCAGGAAAATTAATGCTTAGCAATACTATATCGTAAATAATTTATGGTATTTTAAACAGTCCGTAAAAAATCATACATAACTGTCTTCGTAATCATATCATCATCACTATATCCTCAAGTTACTTTAGCTCACATTAGTTTACTGCTTCTCTTGTTGTCTAAAACTGTCTTTCATAGTAAATCCATTTAGAAGCATAAAATATCAATTTCTTGGTGCCTGCAGACAATTGGATATGAAATTTCATGGACATATTTCTGTGAGAGTTAAGTAATAGTTTGAAAGGTATTTTTGTCATTATCTTATTCGTACTTAATCTTACAACATTAATTCTTACGGATTTTTGATAAAAAAAGCCTTTCTTATTTTCATCTCTATAAATAGAAAAAGGTTTTGGTCGGATGAAATACTATGAATTGAATTTTTTTTTTCTCATTTTCAAAAGCTTACAAAAGCTCTTTTCATTATTAATTTTTTGGGTTCCTAATTTTTTTTCAAGCATCGAATGAACAATTTTTTTAATAATTTTGATAGATTTAATTTTTGTACAGAATTAAGATTTTTTTTTTGTCATATTTGTTTCAGTAAAGCTGGGAAAATTTGTTTAATTGTGTCAATTTTTTTAAATAACTTTTCTAGATATAATTCCAATATGCAAACATCTTTTCATACAGTTTAACGTTCATAGTTTGTTAAAAACTGGTGAAAATTTAGCTATTACAAATTAATGGCTTATTTCTCAACATTAAAAAGTAAGGAGCTTTCGTTTGAAGTTGTTTTGTTACCGTTCATCATATTTCAATTGTATTGTATTGAACTCCTGCATTCATGTGTTATGGCAGAAATGGAAGCATTAGCTATATTTAAAAGCTTTTAATTCCGAATTTTTCAACTTTTTATGAATTACAAGCTGTAATAGAAGTAGTCCAGTATGAGAAGATATCTGTATGATTGCATGATTCGAGACTTATGCTTAAAGTGTTTCTAAATGGAATTTATCATCGCTTTTCATTCATCAACGCAGTATCTGGTTTTATATATTAGTTACGTGCACGGAGCCTGTATAATGATGATGAGCATGTGAAGAGCCGTTAGCAATGAGTTGCCTCTTATCACTTTGGAAGCTGCCACAATGACTGTGTCGTGAATCGTCTGCAAAACTTGAATCTTCTTCGAGAATCTTTTCTAATAACATTTCACCACTGGCACATCCTTCAATATATAATTTATAGAATTCATATATATGTATATTTTTTTTAATATCATTTTTCATATCACAATTTATATTTGTAATGACGATTAAATGTCCATTTGACGATATACCGGAAAATTAGAGAACGAAGTTGTGAATAAAAAGAATTAGTTTTAAATTGTCGAGTCGTTCTAAACAAGTGTCGTTTTACCAGCTGAGGCAGATGCTGAAATTGACGGTGTCATGACTACTTCTGAACTTGTGGGTGTCAATGGTATATTACAATTCGATATTCCATCCAAGCCACGCTCTTCGATACCACGACGAATTTGATTTTCTCGTTTTGTATGACGAGTTTGCAATCCACCAGTTTCTACATCACGTTCCAATCGATGTCCTGAAAATTAATTACCAATTAATACACTGTCCAACGTCATGAGAAAATGCAAGTAATTTACCAGAACGTGAACGTGTTAACTGAGATTGGACATATGCTTCTAAATCATCCTCTTCCTTTTTACTAATTATTGAGTTCAAGACTATGAGGAATACTCCCAATCCTATCGCAAATAAGCCAGTGAGCACCAACTCATTCCACCAACTATCTTTTGCAAAAATGCTCCATGCATTTTGACTTGAAACATCATCAGGAATTAATCCAGCACCAAGTAGGAAAATACCGAATACAACGAACACTACACCAATATGCAGCATTCCAATGCTAGTAACGACCTGTTGATAATAAGAATAATATGTATATGATTTTTGGCGCATGCCATTAAAACATGAAATGATTACTTCATACATGAACTCAATTATGGATTTTCGTCTGTCTACTAATTTACTTTACTTACTTTGCTATCATTTATTCCATGTTGTCCATAATGAGGCCGATGTTTTCGTCTAGTAGAGCCATGTGGAGAATGAGTTTCACCACTTTCTGTTGATTGTATTGAATAACGACGTTCTCTTGCTCTTTTCTGCTCATCACGGCGCTTCCTTTGACGTTTTATGGCCAATGCCGAATGTATTCCAACTGCATGCATTTTCTAAGCTGAAAAAAAGAGGATTGAAAGTTTGACATGAACATATCAGTTTACATAAACTCAAAATGTCAGAGTGAAACATTTATTCAAAAGAATACGTATGGATACATTGAAAAAAGGATTTGATGGAAGTAGCAGTATTATAAAAGTTGAATGAATTACGAATAGAGAATGAGGAACTACGGAGCTCGAGAAAAATAATAATCTTCTTATTTTAACTGCGACACGACAATATCAGATCGTTCCATTTCTTTGCTGTTTCAGTCTACTTGACGACTTTAATATACATGCTTGGTTCTATGTATTTTCTTTCTTTCGTCTCAAGGACTTCTGTACGCATTTTACATCTATATTTTATCTTTTTTTTTTTTCTTTTTCAACAATTGCTTCTTTTTGGTAAATTCCTTTCTCTTAGTGATGACTTTTGATAAAAAATTATGTAAAAGAAAGATTGCGCAAGATATCCAATTTTGTGATTTCTATCGATCTTATTCTGATTGCTAACAAGAATAGAAATGAACGTTAATGATTTTTTTTTGAAAATTATGCCATTTCAAAAAAGGTTTTTAAGGTTTTTTTGAATTGGTCAAGCAATATTTGTCAAGGAAGGTGTTGGTTAAGAAGTTTATAAAGATATTTTCTGCTATAGAGAGCTACTAAGCTTCATTTTTTATATTCTATATAAAGGTTCGATGTGAAGTTTACTATTAATGCAATAAGCTAATTAATCATTTTGGACATTAATAAATCAATAAAAGCACAAGTTTTAATGAATTTATTAGCACTAGCTTAGAAATTTTAGTCTGAATCGTAATTCAAAGTTTCTGTATTGTCTTCAATTTTTTGCGAATAATAAACTTTGTGGAATAATTTTCATTCATGCGTTGATGTTTCTGTAAGTGATAATTTATTGTCTATAAGTATGTTGATTAAAAATAATTGAAGTGAAAAGTTCAAAGGGGCCGTTCACTTATTACGTTACGCAAAAAAACGACATTTTTCACCCCCCCCCCCCTCCCCCCTTGTTACAATATGTTACAACTCACAACCCCCCCCCCCCCCACTGCACGTTCATAATTTATTTTACTTTTAAACTTATGATTGATTTAATTTTGAAAATTTCCACAAATTATGATTGTATTTTAAAGTCTTGAAAACCAGTTTTCTATTGATTTGTTACTTTATATAACAAAAACTATGTATTGCTTAGCTATCAAAAGTGATCTGGACATTCATAAATCATTAAAAAGAAGGAAAATTTAAAAAAATGTTTTTGGTGTGAATTTGTAAACAAATTTTTTTCGTAAACATACATCTGACACCCCCCCCCCCCCCCCTATATTACATTTTGTTACATTTTTTCAAGCACATCTACAAAGGAAATTAATTATGATAAACAGCATAGCATTTCTCGCTTCTTAACACAATTCAAAGAAAGCTATCAGTAACATGAATAAATTCTCGATAGAACATACTTAATTTGAATTTTAAATTAAAATCTTCATTAACATATCAGCATTGATAAATTTAATTCAAAATTTGACATCATAAATTTTGTTTTCGTTTAATTTATTCGCACACCTTTAGATAAACCACAATGTTTCGTGGATACAGCAGTAATTTGGAGAGTCAATCAAAAGCATCAAGCCTAAAGAAGGTTCACTTCAAAAATACAGTTGTTGCATTTAAAAATGATGGAATTGATTTTTGGAAATTTACATGTAAGTCAGAACCTCTTTATATTAAGGAACAATCAAAGAAATACTGCGAGAAGTTTAATAAGAATTTCGACAGTCCTCGCGAAGATAAGCATATAAAAAACAAACGAAAAAGAAAGAAGAAATAATTTCCTGCATTTTTAAAAACATACAAAACATTAAAAAAGCTTTTAGTGAATTAAAAGGAACTGCTTAATAATTCACGTGCTTCACTTGTATTTTTATGAAAATTGTTCCTTCTTCTCACCAATCAACAAGTGTGTTGGAGGCAATTTGTTTGCCACAATAAAATAAATCACAACGAACTACCACAAATTTCACTCATTCTACAGACAAGCGATTTATAACAATCAATTGATTATCATTTTAAAGGTAAAATTAAGCATTTTTGATTGATAAATTATTTAATGCATTTGACATCTATTGATATAGGACGCGACATGAAAGTCATCAATGTTTATAAATTTGCATTCAATTCTTCATCATTGTTCTATTCAAACTGTCATCTGTCATTTATCCTCAAGTGTTGCTTTAACAAAAACATTGTATTCTTTAAATTATTAAAATTTCATTTGTCCTGTGGTTATTGATTTTATGTTGCGCTTTTAATTTTGACATTACTTCTCATTTAATTTTCTCGTTATTTGCAATACTTTGCCCTGTTTTTTTTTTCCAACAGTCTCTTGAGGCTATAAAGTAATAAAGTCAAACACACCTTCAATAAAGTTATACATTTTGTACAATGTACCTTTTGCTGTCAAACAAGATAAAATGTTTTGAATAATTTGTCAGATATCAGCATAAGAACTAGAAGATTTTACTGACAACATTAATAATTTTCGTATAGATTAATACATGATATAAAGATAAACCGAAATTATTATAAAGTTGAAAATATGAGAACATCATGATATTAGTACGGTTGGCTTTAATATTCAGTTACTAATTACATACAGTTAATTTTTCAGACTCATTGCTGGAAACAGTTTTGGGTTTGGAATGTCAAAGTGCTAATGATCTTCATTTTGATATTTTTATTTTCTCCAATGAAGTATCCACTTATGATTTTTGTTTGAAAAGGCTAGTTCTGCACTCATAAAGAAAGTTTTACAAGAGCGTTGACCATGAAATTTGTTAAATTTTAACAATGACCATTGTAAATTCTTTTGTCAACAACTAAATTGTAAAATTTAACAATCATCATACCCTGTTTTTTCGTTATAAACTACTAGCGGGTGTTGGACATCTGGCAGAAAGTAATTCCTAGGAATTCCTAGTAATTCCTAGGAACCTTATTTTAGGAACTAAAATTTTTAAATGATTACTATGATTTCCTAGTATATACTAGGATTTCTTAGGATAGCTCATTAAATCTTGGAGGAATTCCCTCAGAATCCTAGAAGTTCCTAAGATTCCTAAGTATATTAAATGAATTCTTCAAGGAATTTCCTTACTTTCTGTAGAATTTACTAAGGATCCTAAGATTCCTAAGTATATTAAATGAATTCTTCAAGGTATATTAAATGAATTCTTCAAGAAATTTCCTTACTATTTGTAGAATTTACTAAGGATCCTAAGATTCTTAAGTATATTAAATGAATTCTTCAAGAAATTTCCTTACTATTTGTAGAATTTACTAAGGATCCTAAGATTCCCAAGTATATTAAATGAATTCTTTAAGGAATTTCCTTACTATTTGTGAAATTTACTAAGAATCCTAAGATTCCTACACTCATAAAAAAAATTTAACATTTTTCATTGTTATTTCGTTGTAAACCAGATTTAACAATGACATTGTTAAATTTATATGACGAAAAAAAAAGTTAACAATTTCATCGTTAAAATTATTTTTACAATCAATTAACGATAAGATTGTAACGTAACGATGGTGATTGTTAATTTTACAATGGTCATCGTTAATATTAAATTTTAAATAATTTAACTTTACTTTAGTTTTGAATAATCATAATTAAATAAAAATTCAGTATGAAAAGTGAGTTTTATTTCTGTGTACTTAAGAACTATAAAAATTTAAAAAAGTTGATTTTTTATTAAAAAATGTTGTACTTGAAATGATTGTGGGTCATAGGACCGACCGAATTTTCGGCCGAACTTCTGCTGAACTCCGGCCGAAATTTTTTGAAATTTCGGTTTAAATTTCGGCCGAAATTAGACAGAAATCTTGAATTTCTTTTTAAAAAGGTAAAATTTTATTAATTTTTTTGTATGAACCGAAGTTTTTTGACGAATTAAAACAATTTCGGCAGAAACTTCGGCCGAAATCTTGTGTAAACCAAAAAATTATTTTCTTTAAATCCATTTTTTCTGATTCACCGTGTAGTTTAACGTAGTACAAAAATTTGGGGATTATCCTCGGATTGAAAAAGTGGATAATCCGATCAGTGAATTATCGACCTTAGTGAAACACCGAATAATTTTCATTATTATTTTATCGTAACAATATTTTAATTAAAAATTTAATTAACAGAGTAATTCCTAGTACTTTACTACTACTTTGGTACTTTAGTTGTGTCTTGAAATAATTTTTGATTAAAATTTTTTAACGTGCAAACTCCTTTTTGACCAGACTTTTTGTAAAAGGAAAAATCATAGTCAAGCAAAATTCGAGAAATTTGATTCAAACACATCATCAGTGCTATTATTTAAGCCCAATAAACTACAGCTATAATTTAATGCTAAATATTATAAAGTAACATTAAGTGTAAAAATGTTTTTTTTTTTAAAAAAATTGAATTAGATAAAGATGATTTATTGTTTTAGATAATTTTTTTTCAAGAAAAATTCAAGTTTGCGGCCGAAGTTTGAGCCGAAATTAAAACAAACTTCGGGCGAAGTTTCTGCCGAAATAGTTTTAATTCGTCAAAAACTTCGGCTCATACAAAAAAATTAATAAAATTTTACTTTTTTTAAAAAGAAATTCAAGATTTCTGTCTAATTTCGGCCGAAATTTCAACCGAAATTTCAAAAAACTTCGGCTGGAGTTCAGCAGAAGTTCGGCCGAAAATTCGGTCGGTCCTATGATTCACGCCCACTTGAAATAATTTTCGTTAATTAAATTATTTTTCATACTTTCTATTGATGTTTGACAAAAATTATAATTAAAATCTTATTCATTTTCACTATTTTTAAAATTTACCTTGTCATTTAAATAATTATTTTGTCACTTTCAAATCAGATAAAAAATTAAGAAATGCGATTACGATTAAGCAGGCGACATAGGAAGTTAAGCAACAAAATTTCATTTCCTTTTTGGATGGGTGACCATTTTTTCTTCGAAATTTTTTTTAACTATATGATTGTTAAATTTTACAATTTCATTGTTGACAAAAAATTTTACAATGGTCATTGTTAAATTTAACAATTTCATGGTCAACGCTATTTTAATCATGACATTGTTAAAATTTTCATACAAAGTAACAATGCATTGTTAATTTTTTTTTTATGAGTGTAAGTATATTAAATGAATTCTTCAAGGAATTTCCTTACTTTCTGTAGAATTTACTAAGAATCCTAAGATTCCTAAATATATTAAATGAATTCTTCAAGGAATTTCCTTACTATTTGTAGAATTTACTAAGGATCCTAAGATTCCTAAGTATATTAAATGAATTCTTTAAGGAATTTCCTTACTTTCTGTAGAATTTACTAAGGATCCTAAGATTCCTAAGTATATTAAATGAATTCTTCAAGGAATTTCCATACTATTTGTAGAATTTACTAAGGATCCTAAGATTCCTAAGTATATTAAATGAATTCTTCAAGGAATTTCCTTACTATTTGTAGAATTTACTAACGATTCTAAGATTCCTAAGTATATTAAATGAATTCTTCAAGGAATTTTCTTACTTTCTGTAGAATTTACTAAGGATCCTAAGATTCCTAAGTATATTAAATGAATTCTTAAAGGAATTTCCTTACTATTTGTAGAATTTACTAACGATCCTAAGATTCCTAAGTATATTAAATGAATTCTTCAAGGAATTTTCTTACTTTCTGTAGAATTTACTAAGGATCCTAAGATTCCTAAGTATATTAAATGAATTCTTAAAGGAATTTCCTTACTATTTGTAGAATTTACTAACGATCCTAAAATTCCTAAGTATATTAAATGAATTCTTCAAGGAATTTCCTTACTTTCTGTAGAATTTACTAAGGATCCTAAGATTCCTAAGTATATTAAATGAATTCTTCAAGGAATTTCCTTACGATTTGTAGAATTTACTAACGATCCTAAGATTCCTAAGTATATTAAATGAATTCTTCAAGGAATTTTCTTACTTTCTGTAGAATTTACTAAGGATCCTAAGATTCCTAAGTATATTAAATGAATTCTTAAAGGAATTTCCTTACTATTTGTAGAATTTACTAAGGATCCTAAGATTCCTAAGTATATTAAATGAATTCTTCAAGGAATTTCCTTACTATTTGTAGAATTTACTAACGATCCTAAGATTCCTAAGTATATTAAATGAATACTTCAAGGAATTTCCTTACTATTTGTAGAATTTACACAGGAACCTAAGATTCCTAAGGATATAAAATGAATTCTTCAAGGAATTTCCTAATACTGAAGAATTTGCTAAGGATCCTTAGGATCCTTACAAATTTCTAGGAATTTTAGTAAAGATATTTACTTTTGTGTCCTGTTAATGTAAAGATTAGCAATAAACTAACGAGTGTCTATTAAAAAATTGGAGAAAGTCCTGGTGTTATATATTGTTTTATGCTTCAAAAATATTCGATCGTTCAATAACTCGAAGCCCGATTAGTCGAACACCCGAACAACCGAACAAAGTGTACTAATAAGCTACCTTTAAGAAACAAGTTTCAAAAATGCGCTAAAATTTTTTAATTGCTAAACCATGTTGAAATTCCTAGTTTTTGTACTTTTTCATTAACTTATTTAATTATTCCTGTTACTTTACGTAGGATTTTACAAGGAATACGTAGGAATTTCCTATAGGAAATCCTAGGAATTCCTTGAAAATTCATTCCTAGGAATTACTTTCTGCCAGATGACCAGCTAGTAAAGTTTTTTTGAACCTGAAGATTTTTTGTAATCTTTACTAAGCTACTACCAAAAATAAAGTTTAATTAATCTATTTCAACTTTCTAAGTATCAGTTTCAATGCCTTATGACATTGTCAATGAAATAAAATCGAGAAGATAGCAAAATTTCTTTAATTAAGTTAAAAAATTCAAAATTTTCAATTTGCAGTTCAATTTTTTTTACTAAGCTACTAGTGAGCCAAAAAAATCACTTTTTTATTCTTCTAAGCTACTAGCTTATAACGAAAAAACAGGGTAGTTAAAAATTTGTTTTGGGGAAAAATGGTCACTCATCCAAAAAGGAAATAAAATTTTGTTGCTTAACTTCCAATGCCGTCTGTTTAATCGTAATCGTATTTCTTAGTTTATACTCTAATTTTTAAGTTACAAAATAATTATTTAAGTGAAAATGTAAATTTCATAAATAGTGAATATGAATAAGATTTTAAATTATACTTTTTGTCGAACATCAAAAGAAAGTATTGAAAAATAATTTAATTAACGAAACATAATGTGTAGCAATTGTTTGGGATTTTGCTTATAAGTTTGAATTTTGACACTAAATTCTCAAAAAGCTATCTTTGAATTCATTTTTGATTGGTAAATTTTATTCCTTAGTGTGTCTAATAAGTTTGGATCTGGAAAAGTTCAAAAGAAACGCAAAAAGTAATTCTTAAACCTTACAGTTTAATAACCACTGCTATTAAGTATTCGTTATTTGCAAATAACATGGGAATAAGAGAAAATTAGAATTGCGGTCAATAAATTGCAAAGGAAACAGAACAGGTGTAATTTCTATGTGACATTCGGCATAAAGTCTAGTAAACCGTAAAAGAACTGTTACAAATGTCAACCTAACATGATTTTAGTTATTTAAAAAAATGATACTATAGTATATTTGTGCCTAGCTGTCAAAAAAAAATCGCAGTACGGATATTTTAAGAAAGTTATCGAAAGCTTGTGAAAGAATACTGAGAACCTTATCGTTTAATTCCCACAACACTTTATCTGATTTTTACTACCTCAGTTTGCAGTATGAAATATGAAAATTTATGTTATTCACTTACTGTTTTTATCCTCACATTTTCTTAACTTGATTCCATTCCTTTCGCACGGATGGCGAGAATATATAAGATTCACATGTTTATAGTAAGGTATAATGTATCGTTTATGAAATTTTTTTGTACAAAATGAGAAAGAAGGGAACGTAAAGGGATGGAATAATAAATAATTACAACAAAATGTGACATGCATGTCTATAAATAGGTAAATATATTTTACGAAAAATAAAGTTTATTATATAAACCATTTGAGCACATGTGATTGTCATAAAATTTCATTAATAAGTCATGTATGAAGAACAACAACGGAGAAATTTAATAATTTTTCTAACATATTGAATGAGTATTTTATGTGACATTATCATTATTATTGTGTGACATCGGTAGCTTATGAGCAGTGCTTAAATATACAGAAATCAAAGAGCACTTAGATTCTATTTCATTCGACTGCCTTTGCTGATTTTTTGCATGATGATGAAATCTAATGTTAAACTTACATACCTTAAATAATGTTCCTTTCCTTATCTGTAAATTCGAAATGTGTTTACTGAATCCACTTTAGCTACTTCATTGACAGATATATGTTGCGTAAAAAAAAATAAAATAGGAAGAAAAAGTAAACATCCATCAAGGAAAATTTTCTTCACAATTTCATAACAAATTAAGTTACTGGATATGAAATGTTTTTGATTTTCTTTTACAACACAATAATGGTACTTGAATGATTCCTGAGAAGCTTTAATCATCCACGCATATTTTGCAATTTTTTTCTCATCCCATGTCTATCTCGCTTTTGCTATCTGTCTCCACGTGCCTTTGAAGAAAATCTATTGATTATAAGATGAATTTGTATGTAGGCTTATATATTTCTGCAGTTACTCATTTTCATATAAACGATACCCCCAAAAAAAAGACTAAATATGGAAGTGTGTGTAAGAACATATTCCGTTCCTTTGCAGTAAATCTTAAAGAAAACGCAAATTGGCCTTATTTGGTTTATTTTCTTTCGCAAAAAAGGAATCATTTTTTTTTTGAGAAATATAAGCACATACAAAATAGAAGACGATAAAAAAATTTCTAGTCGCAACCGAATGGATGGCGGTGCTGCTTGTTGAAAAAAAAAACACTTCATAAAGTGTGAGTAAACGTTGGGAATAAAAAAAAAATAAGGAAAATCGATAGCTATAAAATTCATTCCTTTTTCTTTGCAAAAAGTGCCTTAAACTTGAACCTCTGCTCCTATATAATATTGCAAAGTATTGCTTACATACTAAGCTTGTATATTTTGTGCTGCAAACTGTCTCATTTTTCATATCTATTCGAGTTTGTTGTGCTTGAATCATTGCATATTTAATGAGTCGTTAGTCAATATAAATGTGACATTTCTCTCGGTTCAGTTAATTTTAATAGAGACTTTCGGAGACTAAGATTTCGCTTAAATTAATTTGTATTTCACTATTTTGTTTTTCTTGCTCTGGCTGCTTTCTGGCCAAAATCAACATTTTTGGATAAAATTTCAAAATCAATAATACGGAATAGGGTCGGACATTTATAATGTCCATTAATAATTTGGATTTTTAGAACCGCCGTTGGCTTATTATCGAAAAATTTATCTTTTGTTCAAAGTGTTATAAAACCACAGAACCTCTTTTAAATCATCATTTATCCCTCAGTCTTTGTAAACTCATTCATTATTATACCATGGACGATAATAATTATTTTAAATGGTTTTTATTAGAAGATACTCTCTTAATCATTAAAATTTTGTCAGATCCCTTTTTCGACGACAGTTGACTCCCCATTAACAAAGCACAAATTGCTTTAAAGAGTCATAAAAGCCTGACTTTAAAAGGTTTATTTATCACAATTTAAAGACAGAGTATTGGGATTTAAAAAGGAAAGAAACAGAATATAGAGCAAGATTTATGCATTCAGTTGTATGTAGGCTTTTATGAACACATGAGATTAAAAGACTTCCGTATAATGCTAGGCACAGAAACTTTAATGTAGTTATAGTATGTGGACATATCGTAGATATGTGCGATATCCCCAAATGCAATTTTCCTTGTTACATCTCTAATTGAGAAGTATGATAAAATCATTTAATAAGAAATTACCGTAGAGATATGAACTAATAGGAATGAGATGATAAGAGTAATTGCGACAAGTTTTCTACATCATCTACTTTAGTAGCATTAAACTTTTTATCTTCCATTTTAATCAAATATTCCTCTATATCCTTCAGATAAAATCAACAAAATCGCAATATTTATAATTCAATTTTCTTTTATCGATTTTGTTCTATTCTTTGATATCTCATTTCTCGATACTATTTGATATAAGCATTGAACAAAATGTCAATATCACATGAATTTTTTACTCTACCGATGGTAATATTTAGCTGGTTTTTGACATTATAATTTAACGGCTCAATGAAATGTGCTTTACATTTAGGTCTATAAATATCATCATTAAGAATATATCTTTAAATTTTACAGTACTTAAAATGTCTTCGCGGTTGCTTACATATGACATTTTACTTTTCAGCATGGTTCAGCATGAGGGGATAGATTTTTTTTTTTGTTTAAAAGTTCATTTATTTATATCAAACTTAAAGTTGAGTTATAAATTTATACAAATTAATTATTGCAGAGAGAGAATAAAAAACAAATTACTTCATATTCAATTTAATTTAATTAGCATCAAAATACAATTCCAAATAGTGTTCTCTCAAACGATTTTTAATAATGCTCAATGAATGAAAAGCCTTTATCTGCTGTGGAAGATTATTGAAATCCGCAAATGCTCTAATGTAAAAATTCTGCACTCCTTGACTAGTGCGGCACATTCTTATTGTGAAATTTCCTCGATTTAGATACGGATATCACAAGTTGAATTAAATCTGTCTCTAAGCAGGCATGAAGCTGAATTAAAAGTAAAATTCTAACCTTTTCAGTGCAATGTGGCATCCAGGAGAGTCAGTAAAAAAACAAAAATTTAACTTTTTAGCGCATTTTTGTATGCTTGTATACAAAAAGGGAGCTTAATAATGCGAAATGTTCGTTCGTTCGTTCGTCTGAAGAAAAACTTTTTAAGCAGACATCGTAGAGAGCTCAGGTTTGTTTTATTAGCTCCATTACTATTGTTTATTATCCGATCGAAAAGTTAAAAGTCTTAAAACAGTGTATTTATACTATAATTAATGATTTTTTTATTTTATAAACAAAACCACGTGATGAGTACGTTTAAAAAATTCAACATTACCTCTATAATTTCAAATTTTTTCTAGCCGTTGTAAAATTAGAATTTCAAAACCCGTTTAATGATAAAGCATTTCTGTATGGAAATTCATTGCTACAGATTACTAATTATACTATAATTGATGTTTTTGTAGTACAACTTTTAACGGAAATATTTCAAATTATTTATTGACTGTTAAATAATAAAGCTTTTCTATACAAGCATTCATTATCATTATTTGTTAATTACACTCAAATGAATTAATGATTTTCTAATCTTCTAATGATCTGTAAACGAACGCAAAATAATTAGATAATCAAATACTGATCGCTGCGTCAAAAATGCACTGAAGTCCCTCGATCAATAACACGAGGTACTTTTGTAATTTTTTAATAACCTCCTCCCTCAGCCAAAGTCTAGAATTGTGTGACACGCATAAAAAAAAAGTTGAAAATGCAACAATCGGATACATAATTTATATCCAACCTTTTTTGCAATCAACATAATGAATCTCTAGTAAAATATGTTTGCACTGTGTTCCTAAAGTCATTGCAAAGGCTAATTTGTTTAATTTATTCACATCTATCCATCTCATATTGCTTTCATACACCATTTAGAATGCTTAATGACTTGACCCATATTCTTGGAAGATCTATTGAAATGGGATATAAATCCAAACAAAAGGAACAAGTTAACAATAAAGTGGTGAAGAGGAGATCACAATGAGTAGCTTTTATTGTTGCCAATAACATGCTTCGAGAGGGTTTTTCACTTGCTCTATTCATAAAATGTTTTCTACATCTTATAATAGAAGCACAAAGAAGCATTGAGAGAAAATGTGAAAAAAGTAAGGAACGAGAGGGAATTTAATCTGGAATAAGTGGGAGAAGAGTCATTGAACTTTACTTTTGCCACTTTAATGTATTTTTTGATGCGCAAATGTGAATTTTTCTCATAATTCATTTATTTTCTGCACTTTTTGATTTATAGCATATCCAATACAATTGCATATATGAATTTTTAGAGCAAAATGTTCGAGAAAAAAATTAGGATTCAATATGGTAATCAAAATGATTTGCTATTTAAATTCAATTGACAAGGAAAGTGGGTGTTTCCTGAAATGCCGCTCGCAACAATTTCATATTTTTACACTTGCTGCAAAATTAGCACTTTAATTGATTAAGGAATTTTAATGATGGCCTTTGGCATGATAAAAAAGGTCGGGACAGGATGGCAACGAGCAAGATAAATGGAATGCAAACAGGAGTAAATGCAGAGTACCATTTCACAAACATTTTTCATACATTATGTAAATGCCGATTAATTCCTCTTTTCATATACATAAATACAAATGAATGACTAATGAACACACCTCACGAAAATTCTTTCACCATTGACCCTAAATTTTTCGGTATGTAAAATAAGGTCCTTTTGGGTAATTTTTGTTTCTAATTGGAGGCAAATACAAAGCACAAATTTTTCACTTTGCAGTTTCATTCCATGTTTTCTTTCTATGTGTCTTCGATCTAATTTTTGGTTTTTCCCAAAAAAATATTTTTTTTTGCTTCCTTTTTTTACACTAATAAATATTTATATTTTCACTTTCCTTTTATGGATTTTCTACTACTTTTAATAATGCTACACTATCTACATTTAATCTAGCATCGATATCAAAATTTTAAACTATCCACAATCAATTTCTAAGATTTTTTTATCCAACTTTATGAAAATGCACATCTATGCAGCTTAAATACTAAAGTCATTTTGAGAGATTTTGCCAATTTTCCAAGCTTTATTTTTCCGATAAACTTGGAATGATCTACAATTGAAATTTGAGATGAGCTTGAAAGTGAAATATTTCCAGTCTATTTGTTGTAGCGGGTTACTTCTTCTTGTCGAATGATAAGCATTTGTTTTATATTCTTTCCCCGCACATGGGAAATACCTATTACAAATGTATATATATGTACACCTTTCACGTGCTATATTATGCGATGAGTCATTTCGCATTTTTTTTTGCAATCATCAATCATAACAGCTTGTTGACTCTGTTGTTTATCTTATGTAGCTGTTTATTTTATGGAAGTCTTTAGGGTGATTAGACGAAATGTTATCTTCAGAGGCTTTCTTTCACCTGACTGGTAATTAATCTACTCTAAAGTTTTATTTTTTTCTGAAAAAATTTGAATCATTACTGATAATAATGAATCAGATAATCACAACTTCCCCATTTGCGCAACTTCCCCGCTACCATCCCCATTTGTACTTATAAAAATTTTATACTAAACAACAGGCGCGTAGCCAGGGGGGGGGGGGGGCAATTTGGGGTACAAATCCCCCTTCGTTTTGAGAAATTTCTTCATTTTATGACAAACTCGAAAAAATACCACCCCCCCCCCTAAAAGTTCTCCATACAAAAAAAAATTTGTCCCGCCCCCCTCTTCAAATTCTTGGCTATGCCCCTGCTAAACCATAACCCATTCGTAGCTGAAAATCAAAATTGAATGATCCCTAATGATAAGAAATTAAAATCAAATTGTGCTACATTTCCTAATTCAGTTCTTTCAACTATCTCGAATGATTACAATATTAAAGCTTTTTGATTCAAACGATATTCCAGATCATTCCAATCATAACATGTTGGCATTTAAACAAAAAATTCCTGGATATTGATAAACACTGAAACACATTTATTTGAATCGATGATTTCTTTTTATTTTTTTTAAATCATACTCTTTCATTCCTGTAATAAGAAGACACTATTTTGTAAATAAACAGAAGAATGACTGAATATGGGACAGGGGAAGTAAAATATTTTGGAATATGAAATTCATTCCAATTGATGATTTTAAAAAAGCTTTGGAAGTAAAAGTGGAAAAGGACAATAATCATAAATATTTAATAAATATCTTTAATAAAAAAATCATTAAGTCAATTTAATCAATTGCTAGTTTTTTTTTTAAATTTTTATGCATAATATATTTTTAATCAGCACATCAGCATGTTACATTATCATAAAAATTAATAAAACATTTTTAGGGCTTAACAAGCGTTTTCAATAAAATTTTCTTCATACGGGTTTACACAACAAAAGGTATTTTCTTAAAAATTTGTTCTTAATGTGAACTGTGTAGATTTCTTTGTCTCAAAAATAATTTTGCTTTTATCATAATTAAAAGAGAAAATTGTACTTTCAGATAAATGATTTATTAAATGACTATTTTGTGTATCTCCGTGTATTTAGGTAAGAGTTCTTTGTGCATTAAGTATTTATTCTCATTCCTCGATAAGTACACTTCTGTGCTTTTACATTCACGTTATTTGATACGTGCTTGCAAGAATGGGGATATGAAGGGATAAAGCTTTAAAGACATGTTACATTAAAGGAGTTGCCAAAGAGTCTATATTTATACATTAACAAGTGATATCATTGAGTAAAATTTTTACGAAATTCATCGCACATCCTTTGGAAGTGTAAAATAATTGGACAGGAAAAATCGTAAATTCATTTGTCACATTGCGAAGCTCATCGTTTAAAACTTATTTCCTATACATCAATAAATTCTATAATAGCTAAAGGAATACTCAATATTTTTTTTGTCATGTGTAAATACTTAGGCTGTGTCCTTCCTCTTTAACATTTGTTCAATTTCTTTATTGTTTACTGACACGCTATAAATATCACTAGCATTGACGCGATTCCTTGCAGGACTCTTTTTCTCAAAATATGCTTCAATTTCCGATAACTTCTTTCCATGTGTTTCAGGTAGAATACATAAGCCAAAGAAGAATCCGAAAATGGCAAATAATGCGAAAAACCATTGAACAGCATGTGATCCACCGAGAATTGATAATAATGGTCGATAACATTGAACGGCAATAAACATTAGAATATTAGCCACAGAGAATGTTATGCTATGACCTATGCTTCGTATCGATGTTGGAAACATTTCTGCTGTTAATGTCCATGGAATTGAGAGTAAGCCAATCATGCTGGTGCAGACAAAGCCTAAGAGGCAAATAACTGGAACGATTCGCAATTCATTTGCACCTTCTTCAATCCATATTGTTACAGCACCAGAAATGAACATAAAAGCAGCCATGAAAAATGATGACACCATAACAAGAAAGCGTCTTTTAAATTTTCGCAATAACCAAGCATTTAAAAGTGACATGATGAAACGAACAACTCCAAGAAATATTGAAGATATAAATGGATCTATTTCATCAGCTCCAGCATCCTTAAAAGAGACAATAAAAATAAGAGATTTGCATGTTATGAAAATATAGTGAACCATGTAATCACATTTGAGTTGCCATATAAAGCACATTAAGATAGTTTAAATAGAGCTATAAAACTAATAGCGTATTCAAGATATAAATCACCTGTAAGAATGTGACCGAGTAGAATAATGTGATATAAATTCCGCTAAACTGTTGAATGAAGAACAAGAAGAATAGAATCAACAGTGGCTTCCAACCCGTTGGTTTCTTAAATTCGCTGAGTTTTTGACATATTGTTGGCTTTTTATTCTCTTTCAATGCTAATTCAGGCGCTAATTTAGAGTTTCCTATAATTTTCTTTTCATAGTCCCGCAACAAAGCTCGTAAATGCATATCAGCAAGAGATTCATTTTGATCAGGTTTTGGATAGTTTTTGTACAAATGTGTTAATGATTTTGCTGCATCTTCAATGCGTCCTTTTGACACGAGATAAACTGGAGATTCAACGACAAAAAGTTGAACTAATATGACTGGTAGGATAGCAAAGATGATTGCTAGCCAAGCTGTTGTACGCCAATCGAAAATTGCTCCACCTATATAAGCCAAGCACATTCCAAGTGAAGCAATTGTTGGTGCAGAGGAAATGAGTGATCCTCTAAGATCTGGTCTTGCAACCTCTGTTATATAAACATAAGCAGGACTGGTTCCTATCGCACAAGCAACCCCCATAAAAATTCGACCTGCTAATATAAAGTATACATCTGGTGCTGTTGCTACAACAACAAATCCGATAATTGCAGGAAAAATTGCAACTTTTATTGTATTAACACGTCCAATTTTATCCATTAAATAACCAGCAATGAGGGAACCAAGAGGTACCATTAGAACGACTATAGAAGCACATAATGATGTTAGGGTTTTTGAAGCTTGTGGAATGTCACTGTCTGGACTTTCTATCTGAGGTACTAAGACTGCTGAATAACTTAACGCAATCCCTACATAAATATGAAAGCTCGCAGCGGCAATTGCTGCATTAATCTAAAAGTAATAAAAAAATTAGATGGAATAAAATAACTGTATCGATGTTATCATGGTTTGCAATGTTCGTCTTTTAAATATGTGTCAATGTCGCAGAGTCATGTCATATTTTTGATTAATTACATCACGCAAAAATATTTACTCAACGTCATAAACTAAGTGAAAAGGAAGGTCTAATAATATATATAAAAGATCTTATCCAATTACTTACGTACCTGAGGAATTGCAGTTTTTATGGTAGTTGTCTCGAAACTACTTAATGACCTACAGCTTGTAATGACTTCCTTAAACGCATCTTCCTGCTTTTCGCCTGTGTCATTGCCACTTTAATTGTGAACGAAAAAAGTACAAAGTAACAAGAGAGAAAATCAATTTTATTAATCTAAATGCATCAATTCAATTAATAATAAAGTGTGAATAAACAGACAGACATTCTATGTGACGAAGGAATGGGAAATATATAATAAAGAGAAAAGTATCAATAAGCGCACGAGTACAAATTGATTGGTTATTGTCCTGTCTTATTAATCACCTTAACAAATATAATTTTCACAATTTTTGCAAAATACTAAATGACTAGCATTAATATTCGGAATGCCGCTAATTTTTATTGTGGTCTGAGATGGTATGGTCATAAATGTCATTATGTTACTATAAAAATCTTTTTATGCCACTCTTCACAAAAATCAAGTAATAAGGAAAGGACTCGATAGTCAAGCTTTTAGTAAACGGCAGTTTCTAAGATGAAGCTGGAATCAAAACTCGTGACATTTGGATGGCAACAAAAGTCATTCTTATCACTTATTGATCAACCGCATGTAGTATACCTGAGCATGTAATCAAACTAGTTAACTAATGTTTTCAGTCATTATCATTTACAACAATCAATATAGCTGTTAAATTGACTAGTTTCATACAAATGACATTTTGTATATAACATCCACTGACACATCATTTTAGAATTATTTTAAATGCACGTTTTTCATTTATTTTCGTATTTCTGTTGCCAAAAAAAAACAACAGACAACAACAATAACGAAAGAGTCATAAATAGAAAGAAAGAAAAAAATTGTTTAGCTATGCATGTTTTCTTATACATTAACTGCAATTATATTAACGTATTGCATACCAAGTTACGAATGTGCTGTAACTGATAGCATTTAGTCTACATAAAATAATTTGATCATTTCTTCATTTGTACTAATATATTTCAATGTAAAGGTCAATGTTTTAATTGTTATTGTAAAAACATACATTCACAGTGACTAACAGCTGATTTAAAATTATTCACGTGCCTCAAATAGTTTTATTTCTCATTTGAATAGAAATGTCTTCAAACAACATGCAAGTTATTGCACGAAACGGTTTAACGAAGCAAGTGAGCTGCAAAGAGCTGTTTCTATTAAAACAGTCAACAAAATTGTGTATGAATAAATAATTATAGTAGGACATAAGATTGGATAGAATTAATATTGGCAAGATAATTTTATTCTGTAATGAAATCTATGAACAATTTTTTTGGATTTCCCTTTTATTCGAGCATGAAATGACTCATGCATATTTATATCCAACAATTTGGCAACTCTAGAAATTTTCATGGCAATGAATTCAAGCAAGAAATTGAATCGTTTTTGCACTTACAACAACTAATTCCTCGTTGTTCATTGATTTCGTTGTAAGTTCTGTATTACTGCACATTAGTGCGATTTTGTAAAAATTTAATGAGATTATTTGAAAATGTCGTCCAACAATACCCCAACCCCCTCCACTAATTGATGTGTCTATCATTTGAGAACGACCGCAATAATTCTTAAAATGAAATTTTATTTCTCCAAAAATAGAATCTATTCGTGCGGAACTTGAACAATTATCAACTCGAAAATTAAAAGCTAACGAATTTTATGGAATTGATTCAGATGTATCTATTGTGGATGACCAATGATGATTGCGTGCAGGAGTAGGTGACAACTGAAAACCATGAAAATTCAATGAGTTGATTGACAAGGAATTTATGGAATTAAAACTTGTATTTTAGTCTCATATCGTCGATCATGGGAGCTAATAATATTTCATTACAATAATGTACTAATTAGAAAGCTAGTCTTATCAAAAAATCTCATAATAATTCCAAATAATGATTTGTAGTTCAAATATAAAATAAAAAGTAAGTAGGTAAGTAAGTAATAATTAGGTACTGATAAAATAAATTTCACATGTGATAATTGATAAAATTTTGAGAACATACCGGAGCTTTCCTTCACTACTGCGAATTTCTAGTTGCAGCTGTGATGCACCAATGCTGTGATGATGAGAATATGAAAGTTTTAATTATGAGTTACAATTAGTCGCATGCACTACGAAATTTAAATTTTATTGCAATGATTTAAGTGCAATTTTTTTATTATATTCTATGGATCGATGTACTATTGACATTGAAAAATGATTTTTATATATTGTGTTTCCATAGCAGCATACACAACATTTATATGATTCACTCAATTTGTGGATTCAAGCACTATTATTACCTTATTGGGTCCATATTAATGGTTTATACTTTTCTGTGAAAATTATTTGCCTGCTAATTTCTCACGATATATTTATTTAAAAAATTTACACAATTCAGAAGAATCACAAAATCATTGTGCTGTAATAAATTGTTCCACTTTAGCATATAAGGTGCGCGACATTCGTTTAACCGCACCATAATTTCTTCAATTTTCACTTTTATAAACACTTTAAGGATGGCAACTATTTATTATTTTTAAAGCTGTTTCCAAGTATGTTTAAAATTAGTAAAGAGAAGTCAGCTAAATGTTGTGCCTTGTTAGGGGCTGTTCACTTATTACGTAACGCGAAAAAATGACTTCTTAGACCCCCCCCCCCCCTCGTAACAAAATTTGTATGAAAAAAAAATTTCCTTGTTTGAACCGTAACAAAATCTTAGACCCCCCCTCCCCCTAAAAGCGTTACGTAATAAGTGAATGGCCCCTTAAATTAATTAATTTTTTTATAAATTACAACAACAAAGTGCGAAGTTCGTTTAGCCGCACTTTGAAAATATTAAAATTTTGAGCTGTAAACGTTATTTATTGTACTTATTCTATTCTTAAAGTATTTAAGCAACAAAAATCTATGTTTGCAGACAGTTCCAGAATTTTCCATTAAGTTTTTCACGAGATTTTCCTTCATTTATTTTGTCATACTGAAAATATCTTCAAAATTAATTTTTGCTGTTATTTTTCATGAAACTGTAATTGTTTTGTCTAAATTAGGTAGAAAATGGTTTAAAGTATTAAATGAATCACAAATGTCTTCATCTTTAATTGGTTTTAGGACAAAAATTTGAGAAAAATATGTTTGAGGTGAAAATTTTTCACCACTTTGTTATAATCATTAATAATTTTTGACAAAACTGTACATGTCATATAGAATTTGAATAGCCTACCGTATTTATCATATTAAACTTGACATAAAACAGAAAACTGCATAGTTCAATGACTAATAGAACTTGAAAATTTTATGAAAGATTTAGGTTGTGGTGAAAAATTTCCACAAAGAAAATATAAATTCCAAAAAAAACTTCATTCATTAATGTTTTTAATGATCATTTTTAATTTTTCTTCTTAAGAAAACACTGTTTTAACTTTATTGAAATGAAACAATAGCTTAATACAGGTTTTTTTTTGAAATTTATTTTTTCTATGTGGAAATTTTTCACCACAACCTAAATCTTTCATAAAATTTTCAAGTTCTATTAGTCATTGAACTATGCAGTTTTCTGTTTTATGTCAAGTTTAATATGATAAATACGGTAGGCTATTCAAATTCTATATGATATGTACAGTTTTGTCAAAAATTTTTAATGATTATAACAAAGTGGTGAAAAATTTTCACCTCAAACATATTTTTCTCAAATTTTTGTCCTAAAACCAATTAAAGATGAAGACATTTGTGATTCATTTAATACTTTAAACCATTTTCTACCTAATTTAGACAAAACAATTACAGTTTCATGAAAAATAACAGCAAAAATTAATTTTGAAGATATTTTCAGTATGACAAAATAAATGAAGGAAAATCTCGTGAAAAACTTAATGGAAAATTCTGGAACTGTCTGCAAACATAGATTTTTGTTGCTTAAATACTTTAAGAATAGAATAAGTACAATAAATAACGTTTACAGCTCAAAATTTTAATATTTTCAAAGTGCGGCTAAACGAACTTCGCACTTTGTTGTTGTAATTTATAAAAAAATTAATTAATTTAACAAGGCACAACATTTAGCTGACTTCTCTTTACTAATTTTAAACATACTTGGAAACAGCTTTAAAAATAATAAATAGTTGCCATCCTTAAAGTGTTTATAAAAGTGAAAATTGAAGAAATTATGGTGCGGTTAAACGAATGTCGCACACCTTATGAATAAAATATATTCCCAAAAAAAAAATTAAACCTAATAATTTCACAATCACATGTCAATTGAACTTATTTCAGTCGCTGTAAAAAAGTAACTACCTTATCTATTTTTTTCAAGCTTCCGTTGATGGCATTTCACCACAAATAATTCATTTTCACCATCGTTTGTTCGGAAAATTCAGCTTTGCGCCGTATTTTTTTTTTTCAAATAATTCCTAAAATGTATGTTGATTGTGCTATAAGGAGAGTTCAAGTCGTTCCATTTTATTCTCACATTTCAACTAACGTTAGCATAGCATTCAGTAATTGGATAAAGTCCAAAATATTTGCCTTAACATTGAAATTTTCCGAATATAAGAAACTCACCACAAATTAACGAACTTTGAAAATTCAAATTAAGTCAAGAGGGGAATGTCATATTATTTTGCCGCTTCTTAAAGAAAATCTATTAATTTTCTTAAAACTAGGTAAATTAGTAGATATAAAGAATAAAAAACAGTTCCAATTGTTCATAGCTCGTGACAAAATCCAGTGAAGTTGAAGGAAACAAAGATAAAAGTTTAAAACGCAGTGAATTTTATAAAATAAGTAAGTGAAAAATGATACAGCAAAAAACATGTTTGTGTCCTAAAAGATTATGTTCCGCATTTTCTTAGTTTTACTCGACATAATCATTAACCATACATTATTAAACATTAGGATAAGTTAAATTTACTTTCCTAATTTCACTGATATTAACCTCACAATAAATTCAATTATTGATCAAACAATGTTTTTGTTTATTTGTAGTAAACAAGAAGTAAAAGCAAGGCAGTCGAAATGGGAGATACAGAAAAATTGGAAGTTCGAGATCCAGCAAGAGTAGAAAGAATTGGAGCACATTCTCATATTCGTGGATTAGGACTCGATGATGTTTTGGAAGCTCGAGCAGTTTCACAAGGAATGGTTGGTCAGAAAGAAGCACGAAGAGCTGCTGGAATCGTTGTTCAAATGGTCCGAGAAGGAAAAATTGCAGGACGATGTATTTTATTGGCTGGCGAACCGAGCAGTGGTAAGACTGCAATTGCAGTAGCTATGGCACAAGCTTTAGGTACTGAAACACCATTTACGAGCATGTCTGGATCAGAAATTTATTCACTTGAAATGGGCAAAACAGAAGCATTATCACAAGCACTTCGAAAAAGTATTGGAGTTCGAATAAAGGAAGAAACTGAAATTATTGAAGGTGAAGTCGTTGAAATTCAAATCGATCGTCCTGCTTCAGGTACTGGACAAAAAATTGGGAAAGTAACATTGAAGACAACAGAAATGGAAACAAATTATGATTTGGGAAATAAAATCATTGAATGCTTTATGAAAGAAAAGATCCAAGCTGGAGATATTATAACAATTGATAAGGCATCGGGAAAAGTGAGTAAATTAGGCAGAAGTTTTACAAGATCTAGAGATTATGATGCCACTGGTGCACAAACTAGATTTGTTCAATGTCCAGAAGGCGAATTGCAAAAAAGAAAGGAAGTCGTACATACTGTAACATTACATGAAATTGATGTCATTAACAGTCGTACACACGGATTTCTTGCTTTATTCTCTGGAGATACTGGTGAAATTAAGCAAGAAGTACGAGACCAAATTAACAGTAAAGTATCAGAGTGGCGAGAAGAAGGAAAGGCTGAAATTAATCCAGGAGTTTTGTTCCTTGATGAAGCTCATATGCTTGATATTGAATGTTTTTCATACTTAAATCGTGCATTGGAACAAGACATGGCACCTCTTGTTATTATGGCTACAAATAGAGGAATCACAAGAATTCGTGGTACAAATTATCAATCACCCCATGGAATTCCAATTGATTTACTAGATCGCATGATTATCATCAGAACAGTTCCATATACCGAAGATGAAATGAAAGAAATTTTAAAAATTCGTTGTGAAGAAGAAGATTGCCAAATGAATCCCGATGCATTGACAATTTTGTCAAAAATAGCTACACAAACAAGTCTTCGCTATGCCATTCAACTTATAACGACATCAAATCTTGTTAGTCGACGTAGAAAAGCACCGGAAGTGACTACTGCTGATGTAAAAAAAGTTTATGAACTGTTTCTCGATGAACAACGCTCCAGTCGCATTCTTAAAGAATTTCAAGACGAATATCTATTTAATGAGATCAATGAAGCCATTCCACAATCTGCAATGGAAACGAATTAAATTTTCTTACTTCCATTTCCTATCAATTTCACTTGATTTGAACATTTTATTTCTCTAATTTACGTGTGTCTTTGATCGAGGTAAAAAAGATTTATTTTGATACACTTGCAGTATGCACTTGACTTTATGTCCTCCTCTCATTAAAAAACAAACAAACAACAGATTAATGTAATAAACAAACAAAAATTAATTAAACATAATCTAAACCAAGTCTTTTATGAGTAACCAAATTTGTTGCTATATATTTTCACATGCTTTTGGTGTTAATCCACTTTCTGACAATACTGCACATACTTCTGCAAACAAGTCTCTTAAAATGGTTGCTTGCCTTCTTTGTTGTCCGTCAATCAACACGGTGGGAATAAATGAGACTGGAGGATTTAATGCATGTGTATTTTCACCAGCTATTTTCAATAGCTCTTTCCCATGTAAAGATGCATAGCACTTTTGTATCGTTTCAGCATCAACTGTATACTCTCTTGAACAACGCTGAAACGCTTTTTGAGGATTTCCATTATCTCTGATCATGCAAGCTATAAAATCCAATTTTATCTCTGTATCATGGATGGACTCAACAGCACAACAATGAATGATATTTCCCTCACATTCGGTTGGACCTGAAATCATAAGTTACAAATTTTACTAATTGATGACTTTGAGCACGTTCAACGATTAAATGTAGGTCAGTTCCAAAAATCACAACCATAAATTGATACCAGGTAAAATTATCATAGATAAGAATTAACATGCTATTAGTTTAAGCTTACCATGTTGACATTGGAAGGAAAGTGAACCTTGAAATAAATAAGTACACGCAATAAATTAGACATGGCTTATCATCAAAGTTTATGTTTTATCTTACCGTCTTTCTCAATCGTCGTTGTGGCTTTTCCATAAGCGAAAAATTCTATTTCAATTAAGTTTGGAAGCTTTGAATATGCTGATTTTAATTGTTTAACAATAAAATTCTTTGAATCTGGACATAAAGCTTCATAAAACACTGAAATTACGACTGGCGAATTTTTGATTCTTGCAAATTCTAACTGATCCTGTTCATTGAAAACATATCTGATTAATGACAGCATTTAAATAAAGTAAAATTTACTTACTTCATGAATAATACGGCTATTATAGTCAGATAATGTTTTGTAAGCATAATAAACTAGGATGATTACAATTAATCCTACTAAAATTCTGTACCTTGCCTGACCACTCAAACGTTTCATTTTACTATTTATAAGATACCCGATTGATGATATTTAAACAGATGGATATTATCTGATCTAATATTAGCAATGAATTAAGTGCTTACTAATGCCTTTAATACTATACTTTCATGATTGCACTTTGTGTATTATGTGAAAAATAAACACAGTACAAGTGTTACTTTTAAACTAGTTGTAGTACTATCAAAGTGAGGTGCTGCATTATACATCCATATTTTTCAGACGCATTTCTTATTAATCGAAGATTTTTTTTTTCAGTGAAGATTATTAATCTCTATCGGTTTTTTGAAATTTGAATACTATGGAAATGAGTGGAAGAAAATTTAATGTTTTACAGCAATTAAGCTTAATATTTGAGCATATCCCTCAATAGACAGCCAAATATCAAATCAAATTGAATGCTCTAATACAATTGAATGCTACATAATACAGTGGGATGTCAAATAATTAGAAATAAAACAATTTGTTTGGTGATTTTAATTGGAACCAAGGGCTGGAAAAACGTAAACAATCTAAAATTTCAATTTTCCAATTTTAAAACTTCTACTTTATTTAATGAAAAAATGGAAAATAAGCAGATTGTTTGTGAAGTTTGCGGTGAATTAGTAGATGAGGATAAGTATAGAAGGCATCTAAATAATGGACATAAAGATAAGCGAGAATTTCGATGTGATTTATGCGGAAAAGAATTTACAAGTAGAAACTTTATTGAAATTTTTGAAAATTTTCATATTCTAATAAAATTTGTTGATTAAGGTAATTACAATCTCCAATATCATGTTGCACATCATTTGAACGAGAGAAATTTCGTTTGTACGGAATGTCCGAGAGCATATAATACAGCAGCTGATTTAGCTCAGCACTATCGGATCCATGAAAAGCAAAGAGATCCATATAAATGCGAATACTGTGGTTTAGCATTCCAAATAAGAAGCAGATATAACACACACATGAGAGTCCATAAAACTGAGCGTGGAAAAGGCCCAAAAGAATGTCCCATTTGCAGTAAAATTGTTCAGGATCTGCGAAGGCACAATGAAACTGTCCATTTGTAAGTTCATGAATTGTATCCCGATTATAAATTAGCTAGGTAACAAGTTTTATCATTTTAGGAATATCCGAAATCATGAATGCGACCTTTGTCACAAGAGATTCAATAAGAAATCAGGTTTGGAGCGACATTTTCTGATGGTACATGAACAGCAAAAGAATTATATTTGTGATTTATGTGGAAAGGCATTTGGTGAGAAATCACTGCTTACAAAACACAAAAGTAGACACAATTCCATCCGAACATCATTCTATTGCACTGTTTGTAAAAAGTATGTTGGGGAGATCAAAAATCATTATGAAACCATTCATGCTGATTTACCATTTCAATGTGAACATTGCTATCGACGGTTTGCCAAATTAAGAGAATATGATAATCATTTAACGTCAAAACATACAAAGTTAAGAAAATGGCTGTGTGATTTATGTGGTAAGAGATTTGTCGAGAAATATCAACTAAAACGACATTTTCGGTCGCACATTAATGTTAATGGAATAACAGAAGCTGACATTTCTAAACTCAAGCCAATTTATATTGGTGAGGACAGAAAGGAACGAAAATCACCTACTAAAACCTCTTCAAATAAGACCAAATATAAGAAGTATGAATGCAGTTTATGTGGAAAGAAGTTTGCAGGAAAAACCCTGCTTAAAACACATCTTATAAGGCACCAGAATAAGAAGGAAAATTATTGTAATATATGCAAGATTTATGATGATAATATTAAGGAGCATTACGAAACTGAGCATAATGATCTCGAGTTCACTTGTGAGATATGTTTTAAAAAGTTTGCAAGAAGCTCACAGCTTAGAAATCACAATTCTACAAATCATACAAATATTGGTGAACATTCTTGTGATATTTGTGGAAGAATCTTTAATAATTTAGCATCCATAAAATCACACATTACGGTCCATGCCAAATCTGAGACAATGGTGCAGTCGGATGATGATTACAATGTTTTTGAACAAATAAATGATTTCGATGATGAGGAAAGTGATTATTTTGAGCATGAAACAAAGCCTAATGATATTGAGAATGTCAATGTAGAGTCGATTGTTATTAAAAAGGAACCAGAAGACGAATATGATAATATTTGCTATGAATTTTCTCCAACAGCAATTTCAATAAAGAGCGAGCATTTAACAGATCAAGAGGATATTGATGCTTTCGATAATGACTTCACGGATGATATAAAGGAAGAAACAGCAATAGAACCAGAACTTGAAATAAAAAAGGTTGTCAAAAAGGAAATTGATCAAGAAATTAAGTGTAATGTTTGTGATGCAATATTTCCTTCAAAAGACAAGTTCAAGACACACTTTATGTCTGAGCATGTTGAGAGTAATAAATCGTCATTTTCGTGCAAGGAATGTGATAAATCATTTAAGGATAAAAAGTCTCTTAATAATCACTTTAAAAATGTTCACATTAAAATAGACTGTGAATATTGTAGTGAAAAATTCACTTCTAAATATGAAGTTGATAAGCATGTTAAGGCAGAGCATGAATCTAGTGACAAAGCTTCATTAATGTGTAGTTTTTGTGGTAAAATTCTAATGACTGAAAGGAACTTAAAGCTTCATATTCAGGCAATTCATAGCGGTGACAGATTTCCATGTACAATTTGTGATAAAAAATTCAGCTATAAATCAGCGATGTATAGGCACAGGTAAGTCAAAACCATCTTTTATTGATATGCTGTATTAATAAGAATATTTTTTCTTGTATATCTAGAGACAGGGAGCATAAAACTGGTCGAAAGCATAAATGCAGCAAATGTCCTCAACAATGCGCTACTAAACATGAACTACGACTACATAAGGAACATCATCATAATGTTAACCGAAAAAATACCTCACCAGAACATATGTGCTTTTATTGTGGAGTTTGCTTTCCATCCAGTTACGTTTTATCTCGTCATAGACGAAGAGTTCACGGTGATGAAGATCCTGAAATTATTCGAGAATGTGGAATATGTAAGGAAGTCCTTAAGGATCTATATTGGAAACGAAAACATATGGCACAAGTTCATTTAAATGGAAAAAAGTTAAAGAGAACTTGTGGATATTGCAAGACGGAATTCGAGCTGTATGAAGAGTTTAAGGCACACATTGAATCCCATGTTGGTCTTTTCATTTGTATTACTTGTGGAGAATTTCATTTTGATGCTGAATCGCTTAAATCTCATCAATATACTCATAAAAAGATCGATTGTAATTTACGCAAGTACATTTGTGATCATTGTGGACACCGTCTATTTACCAAACTTCAACTATCAGTAAGTAGCTTTATGGGCTATTTTATTAAGTAATTTAAACTTTTGGTTATTGCAGATGCACATGCTGAAACATGTCAAAAGCTTTGAAGTTCATTATTGTGATATTTGTGGGAAGGGCTTTAAATTTGCATCGTCACTTTATACACATCGTAAATATCACGGAGAAGGAGAATTTGTCTGTACATATTGCGGAAAGAAGTTTGCCAGGAATTCCGATCTTGTCAATCACATTCGAACTCATACAAATGAAAAACCTTTTAAGTAAGATAAAGCCATTAGAACTTCATAACTTATTGACTTACATATCATTTAATTAGGTGTCAAATATGCGATCGAGGATTTTCACTTAAGCAATTACTTCAATATCACCAACAAACTCATCCAGAAACTAGAGTCATGTTTAAATGCAAAAAGTGCGATGATCAAGTGTTTGCAGATAAGAAGCAATTAACCATCCACGAAGATCACGCTCATCCTGAATTACGTCCTTATCGTTGTTTCATATGTGATATGTCGTTTAAACATGATCACAATTTAAGGAAACATAATGCACATAAGCATCTGTAAAGCAACAAGTTATTTTTAAATCACTTTTATTTACAGAATTCATTAGGGAAACTATTTTTTTGAGTATTATAGGCACAGTATAGATGTACTAAGTTTAATTAAATATCGTGAATAAAAAAATACTTTCATCAAGAATAGATGTTGAATTTTTATCTTAAAGAGATAGATTGCTGCAAGGGTTTACTGCTGCTTAATACATAAATACATTTCGGGAAAACAACAATAAACAAACAGTCAGGAACACAAAGTAATAAAGTAAAGTAGTAAAGTTCAAGTATTAAAGAACCAGTAAATGCTTTAAGGAACTAGAATCATGAACGGTCAAGTAATTTGCGAAACTTGTGGAGTTTTAGTGGATATAAGCAATTATGAGAAACATCTAAAGTATGGACATAACTTAAAAAATTATGTGTCTCAATCAGAATCTAATAAGAATCATAAATGCCATATGTGCAGCAAAACCTTTACAAGTGAGTGATTAATTCAATTTATCATTCATGGATGTTCAACTAATTGATCTTTTATGCAGGTGCATACAATTTAAAGTATCATATAGCTCATCACATAAATGCCAGATCTTTTGTTTGTACCGAATGTCCAAAAGCTTATAATACAGCATCAGATTTAGCACAACATAAGAGAATTCATAGCAACATAGTAAAGGTGCCTCGTAAGGCTAAAAAATGTAAGAGACTAATATCAAACAAGGCGTTCGACTGCCTGATTTTATATTCACACCGTATTCACGTGTGAATGAGTTGGTTTTGCTCAGATTGAAAAATCATTTTTTCACGTTTTGAAAAAAAAGAAGCATATTGGCTGAAAATAATTCAAAAGGAAAAGTTTGTGCTTGAAATTTGAAATCTACAGCAAAAAATCAGATTTCAAATTGGTTAAGGCATTGCTGAGAAAATCGCAAAAAACGCTTTCTGTAATCAGCAAGAAATCTCAATAACGATGCATCGTGGAGACTTCTAGTTTTTAACATTCTATCCTTGCTGTCCTATAGATAAGCTGTACTGTTTTGAGATGCTGCTGATTCAAACATTCAAGCAAAGTTTTGCCTAAAACAAAGACTTTTGATGGTACGGTGTGAATATATCCGCATTGAAATTCTACTCGATACGCTAGACTTTATATCTGTTTTTTAGTGGAGCCTCAAACATGTCCAGTTTGCTCAAAAACAGTTTTGCGTTTGACAATGCACATTCAGCTTGTTCATAAGTAGGCCTCAAAAATTAATCACTTGATTCAACAACTTACAAAAATATATTCCTTATTTTTAGGAATCAGCGGAACTACAATTGTGAATTTTGTCATAAAAAGTTTGGTAAAAAAGCAGGTTTAGACAGACATATTCTAGTAGTTCATAAAAATATAAAGAACTTCAAATGTGATCAATGTGGAAAGACTTTTGGTGAAAAATCACTGCTTAGAAGACATCAAAGTGTACACAGTTCCGTTAAAACATCATTTTATTGCAATGTTTGTAAAAAGTATGTTGGAGATATTAAAAATCATTGTACCACTGAGCATGCTGATGTACCATTCGAATGCGAGTACTGCTTTCGACGGTATGCAAAGCAAAGAGAATATAGAGTTCACGTGGCTTCAAAGCATACAAAGTTAAGGAAATGGTTGTGTGATTTATGTGGTAATAAGTTTGCTGAAAAGTATCAATTAAGAAGACATTTCCGGTCTCATGTTAATGCCAATGGTGGTACAGAAGCTAGCTTTTTGCAATTAAATGATATGCTCAAAACGGAAGCAAGATCACCTTCCAAAAAGTCATCAGCAAAAAAGTCCAACATAAAAAATTTTGGATGTAAATTATGTCCAAAAAAGTTTAAAGCAAGGCCGCTGCTTAAAGCTCATCTCGAAAGACATCAGCATAAGAAGGAAAATTATTGTAATATATGCAAGATTTATGATGATAATATTAAGGAACACTACGAAGCTGAACATAATGATCTTGAATTCGCATGTGAGATATGCTTTAAAAAGTTTAGAAGGAACACACAGTTAAGAAATCATAAATCCTCAAATCATGTCGATCATTTTTGTGATATATGCGGAAAAATATTTTGTAATCTTATAGCTATTAAGTCACACATGGATATGGTTCATTTCAAACCTGTGACAGTAGAAGAGTCAGATGATAATGATTACAATGCCAGTATTTCTGATCAAGGAAATGACTTTGATGATGGAAGTGATTTTTTTGAGCGCGAGACAAAAGCAGATATTGAAATTGTGAATGTTAACTCAATTGATATCAAAAAGGAACCGGTTGATTTATATGACGAGATTATCCACGAAACAGAATTACAAATTAAGGACGAACCACTGTCAGACTTAGAGGAGCTTGATACTTTTGATAGTGAAATCGCGGACAACATTAAGGAAGAAATAACAATAGAACAAGAGAAAATACAAGAGCCCGAAGTTGTTGAGGATGTGGATGATCAAGAATTCAAATGTAATGTCTGTAAAAAATTATATCCAACAAAAGACACATTTAGACAGCATTTTATGTCTAAACATGTTAAAAATAAAAATAATTCGTTCATATGCAAAGCATGCGATAAAACATACAAAAGTAAAGAGTTAATTTTCATACACGTGAGAAGGATTCATAGAAAGTTGAAAAATGAACCTTTTAAGGAACAATCAAGTGAACAGTCTAAATCAATGTGTAGTATCTGCGGAAAAATCTTGAGCAATGAAAAAATTTTAAAAACCCATATTAAGACAATCCATAACGAGAAACAAATTCCATGCACAGTTTGCGGTAAAAAATTCAGCGTAATATCGTTAATGCATAGGCACAGGTGAGTTTATAGTCTTAAAAAGTCTTAGACAAGAGAAAAATAAATAGTTCAAAAAATTATTTGTAGAAGTAGGACTCATGAAGGTGTACGCAAACATAAATGCGACAATTGTCCTCAAAAGTTTGCAACTAATTATGAGCTTGAACTTCATACTAAACATAATCACAATCTTGACCGAGAAAATACTTTTTCTGGATTTATGTGCTATTGTGGAGTTTCGTTTCCAAGGCAGTGTGTTCTATCGCGTCACAAGAGATCTGTTCACGGTGATAAAGATCCAGATATCATTCGAGAATGTGAGATTTGCAAGGAAGTTTTTGACAATTTAACTCTAAAACGAAAGCATATGGCACAAGTTCATTTAAATGGCAAGAATTTAAAAAGAAGCTGTGGATTTTGTAAACAAGAATTTGATCTTTACAAAGAGTTTAAGGCTCACATTGAGTCACATGTTGCATTATTCATTTGTATTACTTGTGGAGAGTTCTTTATTGACGCTGAATCCTTAAAATCTCATCAGACCACTCACAGAAGTGTCGATTTTAATCTTAGAAAAATCATTTGTGATTATTGCGGACATCGCACATTCTCAAAACGTTCACTTTTAGTAAGTAACTTCATTCGCGTGGATATTCATATCTTATTATTATAATCATTTTAGTTGCACATGATCAAGCATGTTAAAGACTCTAAAACACATTATTGTGATATCTGTGGGAAAGAATTCAAACTTGCGTCGTCACTATACACTCATCTTAAATATCATGCAGAAGGAGAATTTCCATGCACGCATTGTGATCGAAAATTTGCGACGAATGCTGAACTTGTTGCGCACATTCGAACACACACAAATGAAAAACCATTCCGGTAGTACATCTTTATAAATTGTTGATCATTTTGATTGCTTAACTTATTTTTATAATATGTAGGTGTCAAATTTGCGACCGGAGATTCAGACTAAAGATTTTACTAAAGTCTCACCATGAAACTCATCCAGAGACAAGAGTCATGAATAAATGCAAAAAATGCAATCATGTATTTGCCGATAAGAAACAATTGAATATACATGAAGAATCAGTTCATCCTGAATTACGTCCATTTCGTTGCTACATTTGCTGCATGTCTTTTAGATATAAACATAATTTAAGAAGGCACAATAAGCATAAGCATCTCTAGTAAATTTGAGCATTAGGTAACACATTATGGATGTACTAAGTTTAATAAATTGAAATAAATTGATCAAAAATAGTCTATAAACTAGTGTATCGGGTAGAAACCCAATGCGGATATATTCACACCGTACCATCAAAAGTCTTATGGATAGACCAAGATTTTCTCAGCATAAGTTTGAAGGGTGGGCGTGAAGTACGGCCGAGACCCATATCGACACAGTTCAAAAGTTATACCTAATTTATGTCAAATTATGTCAGCTACAAAAACACTTAGTTTGAATTTTGTCACCCTCGGGAATACTATGAACCAGTTTAGCTGATTTTGGTCCAAATCTCGGCCATACTTCACACTTATTTGAACCACATTTTCTCGTAAATGTTAAAATATTATTGAAAAGCAATTAATTCTGAATTATGTCGCTATTTTGTCATGTGTTTTAAGATAAAGAATTTGTTTTTTGGTTTCCACAGTGAAGAGTATGAACAAAATTAATAATAAGCTATGCATTACAAAAAGTAATATTGGTATGTGATTTATGTCAGAATTATGTAAATACAAATAAAACATCCAAAAAATTTTTTTGACAAAAGTACACCATAGAAAATCAATTTTCAATTTTGGACTAGGGGCGACCCTAGTCAAAATCAATTTTGTCACTTTTTTCTTCGAGGGTTTATCCAAATGGATTGAAACTTTGCATAAATATTTTAATGCTTAAAACAAATACAAATAAAACATCCTAAAATTTTTTTGAGCAGAGATCCAAGTAGGAAATACATTTTCAATTTTGGACTAGGGGCGACCCTAGTCAAAATCAATTTTGTCACTTTTTCTTCGAGGGTTTATCCAAATGGATTGAAACTTTGCATAAATATTTTAATGCTTAAAACAAATACAAATAAAACATCCTAAAATTTTTTTGAGCAGAGATCCAAGTAGGAAATACATTTTCAATTTTGGACTAGGGGCGACCCTAGTCAAAATCAATTTTGTCACTTTTTTCTTCGAGGGTTTATTCAAATGGATTGAAACTTTGCATAAATATTTCAATGCTTAAAACAAATACAAATAAAACATCTTAAAATTTTTTTGAGCAAAGAACCAAGTAGGAAATACATTTTCAATTTTGGACTAGGGGCGACCCTAGTCAAAATAAATTTTGTCACTTTTTTCTTCGAGGGTTTATCCAAATGGATTTAAACTTTGCATAAATATTCTAGTGCTTAAAATAAATACAAATAAAACATCCTAAAATTTTTTGAGCAAAGAACCAAGAAGGAAATACATTTTCAATTTTGGACTAGGGACGACCCTAGTCAAAATCAATTTTGTCACTTTTTTCTTCGAGGGTTTATTCAAATGGATTGAAACTTTGCATAAATATTTAAGTGCTTAAAAAAAATACAAATAAAACATCTTAAAATTTTTTTAAGCAGAGATCCAAGTAGGAAATACATTTTCAATTTTGGACTAGGGACGACCCTAGTCAAAATCAATTTTGTCACTTTTTTCTTCGAAGGTTTATTCAAATGGATTGAAACTTTGCATAAATATTTCAGTGCTTAAAACAAATACAAATAAAACATCATAAAATTTTTTGAGCAGAGAACCAAGTAGGAAATACATTTTCAATTTTGGACTAGGGGCGACCCTAGTCAAAATCAATTTTGTCACTTTTTTC